ATCTTTAACTCCTATCAAGCTAAAAGAGCTATTATAACATTAATCCTTCTATTTAAAAAAATCTGCTCAACTGTCATTTTATTTTCCTAAACCCACATACTATCTATAAGTGCTACGCACTAAAAAAGCATAAAAAGCAGTAAAAACGTAACAAAAACGATTAATTTTTGGGATTGTATATACTCTATTAGTATTACATCTATACATATAGTAAAATTGTAACTAAGCCGAATCTGTACATTAAATGTCTTTTAGAAAATCTTATTGAAATAGACATTATTATCGATACAGAGGCCGAATCTAGTTTTTAGAATTTTTGCCTGTCTGTCTGTCTGTTACCACATCACAGGAAAACCACTGGAGGGATTTTGATGAAATTTGGTATGATGGTAGCTGGTTATCCGGGTCAACATATAGGATACTTTTTACCGCGGGAAAATGTCTCATTATTGAGAAAAAATACAAAAACTGCAATGTAAGAGTATACTAATATGTTAAAGCTAAGAATTTAGTTTTTGGTCATCTGAACGCAGACGGAGCCGCGGGCAATGCTAGTTTTTATTAATTTTGTAACATAAGCAAAATAAAATGCTGGGGATTTGCCCGACTTAAAGAAATCGTAAATCGTAATCACAAACTATGTAAAAAAGCTACCCATAAAGTAATAAATAACTGAACATATAGGTACATAAATTTCATTTCTATAATAAATAAAAGGATATAAATTATAAAACTACGGTAACACTTTAAAAATGGACTTAATGATTTCTTGAATTAGTTTTTTTTTATATTGTGCCTATAGAGAAGATAAATATTAGAACTTGTAACACTACAGTGACATTAGTTGTGTCATTTCCTTTTCCTATCTCTTTTGTCATTGACCGGCTCCACTTCACTTCAGCTGCATTTGTCGATCTTTTCTTAAGAACACCTCTGTACACGTTATACGTGTGGATAACCTAGATCGTTACATTTTATTCTCTTCACAATGGCCGAACAACGTGAAAGAACTTTCATTATGGTTAAGCCTGACGGTGTCCAACGCGGTCTCGTCGGCGAAATCATGCAAAGGTTTGAGAAAAAAGGCTTCAAATTAGTGGCTCTCAAGTTCGTGTGGCCATCTGAAGAACTCCTTCAAAAACACTACAGCGATCTCGCTTCACGCCCATTCTTCCCTGGTCTAGTGAAATACATGAGCTCTGGTCCCGTCGTACCTATGGTATGGGAAGGTTTAAATGTAGTGAAGACCGGCCGTCAAATGCTTGGTGCTACCAACCCCGCTGATTCTCTACCCGGCACCATTCGTGGTGATCTCTGCATTCAAGTCGGTCGCAACATCATCCATGGTTCTGACAGTGTTGAATCTGCCAAAAAAGAAATAGACTTATGGTTTACCGAAAAAGAAGTTGTTGGATGGACCCCTGCTGCTGAAAACTGGATATATGAATAAGTTATAATTAAATTCCATTTTTTTTTCTAAGTTAAATACTGTCAAATAAAATAAATGAATTTACTCTTGTTTTTATTTTTTCCATATATTTAGTCCAATACTTGTATGTATTTAGATAACAATAATATTAAAATTATTATATATTTTTTTGTTGTCCACGCAATCAAGTCGACTTTATTTCACAATGCACTTTTTCAAAGTTATATCTAATTAAAACAGCAGTAAATGTCATGTTTCATATAATAATTACTAAAAATGTTAAAACAAGATAGAAATAATATGTATTACTGATATAGCCGCAACCTATGCCTCTTTGTATATTTAGTATTGTTTACCTAAGAATAAAAATACTATTCTCATAAAATTCAAAACCGACAAGGACAAAAAAACGACCTGGCTACCTTCAAGAAGAGAGCGTATTCTCGGGTGCTTTAATTAATTTTCTCTCCTTTGAAGGGTTTCTGTAAGAAATCCCTTAAAGAAAAGTTATCTTTATTTTGTCAAATATTTATAAATTCTAAAGCAGGTGATTGGAAATCAAACAAAAAATGGTTTCTATTTTGCTTTACTATGCATATGGATCATAATTATTATTATAAATTTAGGTCTAACAATGTAAAGCATCATTTTGATGCATCCATTTTGCTTTTATATAAGCTTCGATTACATCTTTTGATTTACACCAAAAAACTAAGTTTCATACCAGTTTTGTAAAAAAAATAATACAACTTTCTATTTACATTTAAGTAAGTTCTTATCCACTAACTTGGTTTAAATTTATCTAATAAAACTTATGTACCTTTGCTTCTATTCTACCCACATTTCTAATCCATATTTACAATGTGTGAGAAATTGTTACAACTGCATGCTTCCAATTGCATATTGATTCATGTCATAACCAAACGAGTTCTCCTTTATCCTTAATTCCACAGCCAATGAAAATCTTATCATTAATTCAATTTAAGAAACCCAACTAAACAGCCTCTCAGAAAAGGCCTGGCCACAAATGTATATATACAATAAAACTAAATTTGTTAATAATTGGTTGTTTACATTCTCACACTTAATAATATTGGCAGTGTTCTCTGTCAAGATGTTTGGTTTTATTAAGGTGCCCCTCAACCAAATAATTCAAGGATAAATTCAAAGAGACATTGAATTCCAACAAATATTTAAAACTGTTATAAACAATTTAATCTCTAATTTTGGACTTTTTGTTAGTAGTTTGGAATAACCAAACACAATACAACAAGTAAAATAGTTTTCAAGTGGCTGGCACCTCACAAACTAATGGTTATGCAAGCGAGAAAATCACTTCCCACTCATGGAGTTTTAAGTAACAAATTGATCTATGATTCAATAATAAGTGTATATACAGTTTCTGATAAATTATTATTTATAAATCTTACAGTGCGGGTGGGGTATAAATATTTAACTTAAATATGATCCTAAACTCATAGAGTTTGTTCACTGTTGTGTTCCATTTCAACAGTATTTTGTGTGTTCTGTTGCTGTTCACTGGTTGTTTGCTGTTGAGACACTTGCTGCTCTTGTTGGTTTTGTTGTATTCTAGAAGGTAGTGGTGCTGTTTGACCTGAACACATACAAACTAATATAGCAAACATATTCTATATTTTCTTAATAATATGATTTATAATACAAAACGAGAAGTATGTGTAATAACAATAAATCTGGTTATTTATGTTATTAACAGATTAACTGTCCGCAATATAGACACAATAGTTAAATAATCAAAATGTTCATATATGATTCATGGGACAGGGAAACGGTTAATCTAGTTATTATGAAGTACATAAAACTAGGCACATTGTACAAACATGTATTTTATATAGTACCATATTTATCGTGTATGCCCCGATGTCGCTTGAGCGCAAATCTGTCTGCGAAGGCAGCGGTGCAGATGTCGCATTTGAAGGGCTTCTCGCCGGAATGCACCTTCGCGTGGTTCTTGAGGTGAGCCGCTTGACTGAAGGCTGAGCCGCACACGTCACATCTAAAAATCATCATAATTATACTTTTGAAGAAAACTTCTTTACGCACGCTTGATTTCGGAACTGGGGAGTAAGCTGTTGAATGCGTTACGAAAACTTTTTTTTTTAAATTGTACTTAGTATACAAAAGAGACTGCTAAGACCATGATTGCTGTACAACATTCGAAACGTCGGGATCCAAAAATCCGAAAAGATAGTTTTATGGCTATATAGAATACAAAATCAATAGGCCCCCCTTCTTTTCAATCAAAGTACAAATGTGTAAAAAGTATGAAGTATGTAACATTTTAGATCCTTACTTGTATGGTTTCTCTCCCGTGTGGATCCGCCGGTGATTCCATAACGTTGCATGTCTAGCGAAGCCTTTGTCGCATACCTGCGTCACACAAACAATTTTATAATTATTGTTTTTATATACATTTTTACTTGAACTATTATTTGTATACGTAATAAATATAAAAATCTTGGATAGTTTTTTTTGTATTCAGGTATAGAAAAAAGCAATTTAATGTTTTTTTTTAAAATGGAAATAACGAGTTTAAGCTCTCGAATCTCCAGTAATATGCTTGTAATTTAAATAAAGGTAAAATATATTTTTTATAATCTTTATTGCTTTTGCCTATTTTATTATATAATATAATATTATTTTATAATATAATATTATAATTAAGCCTTTGTAAATACTTTTTAATGTAATCTCTTTTTGATGTGGAAAATAATTATTAAAAAGTGCAAATATAAACGCACGCCATTGGTCAGACCGAATATGACGTCCAAGTATTATCATAACCGAGCGATTAGCGATTTTGGCTGGATTTTTCTATAAAATATGATACTTTGACGTCGCGCTAAGCGCTTGAAAGACACGCGGACGTTTGAAACATCCGTATCGGTATGATATTTTTTTATTTAGACAAAATTTTAGTTTTTTGGAGCTGGATATTTTTTTACAACTATATAACGATATTAGCTATTGCATAAAAAAATCACGCATATTCCCTATTGTTTTAAAAAAGGGCTGGTAGTACAATTATTAGTTCGTTACTCATATATTTAGTACACAAATGGAGATTTAGTACACTGACATACAGACTGGTTATTACTATTATTATTTTTGTTGTTTGTTTTTATTTTTGTTAGTGTACACTTTTTTGTTTTGGGTTAAACAGTGTTTTAAATTAATGACAGTAGACTAATTAATGTTAATTGTTAATTAGAGAATAGGTTACAAAAACAAATGCATATATCATGTTGTAATGTTCATCCTATTATTATTATTATCTTTATAAAATTGAACTATGACTCGAAGACAGTGCTTGACCTAAGAGCTACATGAGTAAGACCTTCATAATAATTAATTTAAATAATGAAGTATGAGCAGGCAGAATAGAAAAAAACGTGTATGTTTACTTATGTACGCACGTAAGAAGTTATATTTCTTTAGCTAACAGAACAAAAATAGCTAAAGATTTCATCCCATCCTGTATGTCACATCTCTCTGTTTGTAAAAGGAATGCAGCTAACTTCATCATGTCGCTTTTTGGCTGTCGGTGTGCGCGCGCATCGTAAAAATTTTATCTCAAATTTTTATCCAAACGTGCCAAGAGAAACATAACTTCAATATGTGTATATCTCTTTAAAATTGTCTAAATCTACAAATTGTGTTTGCGGGCACACAGACAGCCCCAGAAAGTGGTAGATCAAACTTCAAAGTCCTGACCGTATATATTAACAAAAATATAAAATACTAGCGGCTCACCCTCGCTTCGCTCGGGTTCACCTCTAGAAAAGCACAAACAGATCTATCCCACGGGAACCGTTCATTTTTCCGGGATGAAAAAACCTATTGTTTGACCGGCAATATAAGGTATCAGCATGCCAAATTTTACTAAATTAGGTGCATAAGTTGTTGTGTACTAAACTGTATAAGCTCTTTAATTTTCTGGAATGAAAAGTATCTTAGATGTTGACCGGAGATATAAGGTACTACCATGCAAAATTTCATTTAAATCATTTCAATAGCTTCAGAGATTAGCCCGTACAAACAGACAAACAGACAGAGAAACAAAAAAATTGAAAAAAAAAACTGCAGTTGTTCTATTTCTCTTTTTTCGGGATGTAAGAAGAGAACGGACTCGGTTTTTAGCATTTTTTTCTAACCTCTACAGTTTTATTGCGTATAGAATAAATAACGTATAATAAAAAAGTAATATATAATAATGAAAATAGTTATAGCGAGTGTACCTTAGGAGATAGACATATAATAAGTAGAACTTTTCTATAGACCTTTTTAAGATTTACAATTTTCTTGCACAATGTTTTCATCTATCTCTTAAGGTTGAGCCAGCGTTAGCCATATAAATTTCTAAGGACGATTCGAACCAGTTATTGTGTTTTCCCGTGGGAATGAATAATTTGCCTGTCGTAAAAGGTATCCTAAATGTTGACCCGAGTACTAATTTATCACTAAAACAAACAAAATTTAGTTAAAATTCGTTCAGTACTTTTTGCGTAAAACGCGCACATCGATTTGACTAAGTTTTATTATAGGTATAGATAAGAATAGATATTGCTTAGAGATATACATATACTATTTAGAACTTTCCTGTAGGACTTTTCAAGGCCTACAATTTTTTAGTATATTGTTTTGATGTATGTATGTCTTAAGGTTAAGCCAGCGGAAGGTTTCTAGGGAGGACTCGGTAAAACCAGTTATTGTATCTTCCCGTGAAACGCGCATACAAAAACAGACAAATAGACATATAGGCAAACAGACAAACAGACAATTTTTTTAATAACTATTGTTTTGGGGTCTATGTTGTGTACATAATACGTTACAAATAAACGAAAACAACTATCCCACGGGAACTGTATATTTTTCCTGGATAAAAATTGATCTATTTGTTATTCTGATGTATAACCTATATTATTGTAAAGTTTTATCAAAATCCAATTAGTAGTTTTTGTGTACTAAGCTGTATAAGTTACTATAGTTTTTTGACTGTCCCACGGGAACCCTTTAATTTTCTGGGATTTAAAAGTAGCCGATTTGTTCTTGTCATGTATGAACTATATTATTTTAAAGTTTTATTAAAATCCAATCAGTAGTTTTTGTGTAATAAGCTGTATAAGTTGTTATAGTGTTTTAACTATCCCACGGGAACTATTTAATTTTCCGGGATGAAAAGTATCTAAGATGTTGGCCAGGGATATAAGGTACCACTATGCAAAATTTCATTTAAATCGGTCCAATAGATTCGGAGATTAGCCCGTACAAACAGGAAAACAGACAAACAGCTCGCTCGGGTTCGTCCATACCTACGAATATGTTGTATTATCTCTTTAACCATTTGTCCAAATTATATGCAGTAAAAGGGAAAAGTCTTTTGTTTTAAACATTTTAGACGATAAATTTATTTATTTTGATAAGAATTCATAATTGTTGATAATATGACCAATAAACATGACCTACCGATTTAAATTATTTTTTTAATATAAAAAACTACTTTTTGTGACTTAAATATAAAAGTTAGACATATGCTGTCGCTGACTTTTTTGTAGGCATTATTAAGCTCTACAACTTTTCTCTAGAACATAATCATATATCTCTCATCGTTAAGGCAGCGTTCGTAAGAAACGTTTTCGTTCGACCGTTTTTTCTCCGACTTACTTTGCAAATTCGACTACCACGAAAAAGCCTTTTCATTCTTCGGGTTAATATATAGCCTATGACACTCAGAAAGAACGTGGCTTTCTATTGGTAAAAGAATTTTGAAAATCGGTTCAGTAGATCCAGAGATTACCCCCTACAACGTCACAAACTCACAAACTCACAAACCCACAAACTCACAAGATCACAAACTTTACCTCTTTATAATATTAGTATAGATAAGCAATGGAGCGATTAAGATTAAGCCTTAAGAGGATTGTGAAGTGCCGATACGCGGCGAGAGTAGGTATTTTTAAAAATGCTATCTGTTTCATACTTAACACAATTTGCTGTTAGGTACTTCTTGAAATACTAAATTAATAACCAATCTTGATGATTTGATAAAAGCTCTATAGATTAATGAAAACAAGTTTAATATAAACAAAATAGACATTGTTAATTACTTTGACTTGAGAATGGATATTTTCAGTCAAAGTGGTAAAAAAAAATGATAGCTTACCTCACAAACATATGGTTTCTCCCCTGAATGCGTTCGCTCATGATTTTTCAAATGCGGTGATTGCGAAAACTGCATTCCACACGTTTGACATCTGTAATTTTTAAGCTATTAAATGAAACATATAATTAAAAATTTTATTTGATAAAAATGTACTACAAAAGTTGTGGCAGCGAGCAGGTTTCGAGAAATTAACAATTGATTGAATGTAAATAAAATTGAGAAACTTATTTTGACTACAATTACAAAGTATTCTCGTATTGACGAAGTTTATATATCACGTATCTATAACTTTGCTACAGGCAAATCGTCGTCTCAGTGTTTATTTGTCCAAACGAGCAATGTATTGGAAGAATTCGTGCTGTTTTAAAAATAGAGAACAAAAACTCTACTGTAAAAATAATAAAGCAATAAGGCGACGATATGTTAAACAATTCAATTTTCTAAACATCTATTTGTTGTTAGAATATTTTTCTATTGCATATACAAAATGTATTTTTATATAGAGTAATTATGTAATTTCACATATTTTCTAATATTTTTGAAATTAACTAAAATTCATTTACTTTACTTAATTACTTAAATTCGAAAAGTTCATTTTGAGTAAAATTATGTATAATTAAAATAACCATTACTTTTATTAATTAATGAAACAAACCTGTATGGTTTTTCCCCCGTGTGTATCCTAGAGTGATTCTTAAGATATACAGCTTTAGCAAATGCAATCCCACATATACCACATTTAAAATTTTTTTCACCAGAATGTAGTTTTTTATGTGACCATAATGATGAGTATCTTGAGAAGGAACCGCCACATATATTGCAATGGAATGGTTTGTCTGCGTTTGCTTGGTTATTTTTATTCTTGTTACCTCCCACAAAGACTATTCCAGATCCATTACAATTTTGACATTTTGTTACTGATGCTAAATTTCTTTTTTTTACAGGATGGTGTCCAGGCACTTGTAAAAGAAAATATATATAATTGGAGAAACTTTTGTTTGGAATATCCTAACTAAATTACTATATAAATATACATAATATATACAAAATGCATTGTAACAATATAGCGCTGATATTCAAAAAGTCATCTAAATATTTAAAAAAAATGCTTATGAACATTGATGATGACTGTAAAAAATTATTTCTAAGTGGTCATTGATAAAGCGCTTTATATGATTAATATTAATTACATTTATTGACCGACCAAAAAATCAGTTTCGACCAAAAAATCTGGTTTGGTTTTCGCCCAAAAATCTGCCCGAAGCGTAGTATTTGTGAATTGTCGCGCTTCGTTCGTGAGAGTTCGTGCGTCGTGGTCGCCAGCTTATTTTGCCGGTCGCCGGTGCGATTGTGTCGATTTAAGTTTATGCGTTTTGGAAGAGTTAACACATAAGCTACTGTTAGGCGACCGAGGGCGACCAATAGCGCGGTGAGGGTGAGTCACTAGTTAACTATTTTTAAGACCTTTGGCTCGGTTTGCTGTAAACCTACCTACGGTGCCAGCGGTCGCGGGTTCGAGTCCCACTGGGGGCATTCATTTGTGTGATGAGCACAAATGTTTGTACTCCAGTCATGGATGTTTATATTTATAATATGTATTTAAAAGTTATATATGTATAGTGTGAAAAGGCAGTGGTAGCACAGTGGTAACGCGCTCGCTTGGGAAACTGAGTGAAGCGAGTTCAAATCCCGGGTCTCGCACCTCTGATATTTTTATGTGCGAATCATTTCCTACCTGATTACCACTTGTCTTAACGGTGAAGGAAAACATCGTGAGGAAACCTGCATGTCTGAGAGAACCTAGCAAGTTTTCAAAAGACGTGTGAAGTCCGCCCCGCACTTGGCCAGCGTGGTGGACTATGGCCTGATTCCCCTTGTACTGTAGGGAGGCCCGTGCCAGCAGTGGGACGTTAAAAAAAAAGGCTGAATACATGTATAGTGTATTAACTATCTGGTATCCATAATACAGGACTCATAGCTTACAATGGAACTAGATGGCGCTGTGTGTTAATGTCTCATCATAATCATATTCATTCATTCAAATAGCGACTAAACTCACTCAGTGTATGTTTTAACTATGGAGGGTGGAAGTAAGGAGGACCGTCTTGTATGGGGGATTACTTGAAAAAGTGTCCATTTGTAAACAGCAAATTATTGTTCGAACATTCACCGAAATAGCGCTAGTGTAGGAAATGGAAATGATATGAATTTAGCAGTTATAAACAGAGTGAAGTGTGCTGGGTTGAAAAATTTAATATAATTTACAAATAATAATAATTTAATTTACAAATAATTAGGGTACTTAAAAATACTGTATAATTTTATTCCATATTCATGTTTGTCTGTATATTATAATCATTTAAAAAAATGCAGTGTAACAAAGCAGATTTTTTTTTTTCCTTTTTTAATTTAGTGTCCTACTGTAATAATTTGTGGCACTTCTTTTAAAACTCTTCCACTTGCTACTATAGCGCCACCTTAATTTGCTCCCTTTCAACAGACACTTTTTAATACACTGAGGTGGTCCTCCTTACTTCTACCCTCCATAGTTTTAATATTCATTTTAGATTTTTAGATTTCAGTGTAAAGAGAAATTTTTATGTCTATATTTGTTTCGGTTTCGGCCGAAACTGAGACTGCACATACAGACAAACACTCGCCGGAGAATATACTGTGAGAATACTTACAAGGTTTCTGTTGCGTTTGTTGCTGTTGGTTGGTAGCAGCTGGCGCCAGAGGATCCGCAGTATTCTGTACTCCACTCACACCGCTAACTTCAAATTTCACATTATTTTCTGTCGCTACAAATATCTGTGTAGAGTTCACTGCAAAAATAAGAAATGTCAAATTAGAATTTATAATATTTATCACGGAATTAACAACATTTTGGTTGTTTTGTTGTAATTGTTTTTATATTTCTATACAAGCCGATTTTATTTCTAAGGCACATACACGTTTATTTCTAAATATTTTCTGTTACATAATTTCCTAGCTTCTATTATACTTATACTTAGCTTATACAAGGGGATTGATGTACAGATTGTACAGACTGTACAGCTATGAATCAAATTAATCAATCAAAATATTTTTTATACACTTGTGCAGATATAGAATAAGAGTACAAATCTAGTCGCTTCTATTAATTTCTCACTTGTAAAGTCTTTCAAAAGAGATATACTTATCGGTATAGGCTATGGACAGTGAAAAATTAAGTGTTATTTAATATATTGTTGTTATCAAATATATCTTGCGACGTGAGGGCCCTAACTATAGATATGACGGCTGCTTGACAAAAGCTCTATGGTTGGTTAGCTTTCAAGTAGTTAGGCTGTCGGAGAGACTTGCTAACTATTGATATTTAATCGTTGTAAATTCGTTTATAGGAATATTTGGATGAATTTTTTTTTGTATTAATTTCATTTGATTTTGGTTTTTTTTATTCACGTCCAACTTCTGATTCCTAATTTTTTTTTATTTTGTAGTAGAGACTCAGAGTTAGTGTTGTATTACAAAATATTAACTATGTGCATTCTGAATTCCCCTCATATCTGTTGAAATCTTATCGTGAGGAATTAACAAACCCATAAACATTTATTTAAAAATACGTGTTTTATTACATAGCTGGTGACTTGCCATCTATTCTTTTGGGTCCTTATACAGGTAGCATCACCTTTTGACAAAGTTTATTACTGACATGTGTTACTCTAGATCGTAATCTGTGTGCTAAATATCATTCAATTTGTCCAACTATTTCAGTATGGAGAAGCACAAAAATTTGTATGTGTGTGTGTGCACATGTGAGTACCAAACATACACACACACACACACATAAACTTTCGCATACATAATAGCCGTGTGATGTTATTTCATAAGCTTTGAGAGTTGAAAGTTTAGATAAATTATAGTTGCACCTAAGTTATACCATCAAAAATAGTCTTAAATTGGATGCAGAATTAATTTGTATATAAGATAATGTACATATATAAGATAATGTAATGTTTAATAACAGTTACATTTATAGTATCTATAATAGGTATTTTTCTCTAGATGTTACATACCATTAACTACAATATGCATATAGACAGTCTATACAAACTAAAATTTCTAATCCTATTCTTTATCTGCACAGGTAATACATTATTGTTCTAATAATATAATACCAAAACATAAAAAAGAGATATCCACTGAATGTGATGCATTTAATGCTTACAGAAATCACTGACGCCATGTGTGGCTTAGTTTGTAGTGAGTCTACTTGCTGTACCAGCTGTTGCGGGTTCGAGTCCCACTTGGGACATTCATTTGTGTGATGAGCACAAATGTTTGTACTCCAGTCATGGGTGTTTATATTTACAATATGTATGTAATTATTTAAGTTATACACTGTGTAGTGTATTAAATATCTGGTATCCATAACACAAGCCTTATAGCTTACCAAGGAACTACATGGTGCTGTGTAGCAACGACTTACTTTGATTGTTCCTCTGTTCTATTGAATCTTGAGCTATACAGTTTTCACATCTTATTAGTTTCGGTCCTTTTCTTTTTGGATTATTAGTGATAGGGCCACCACATGTGATGCATTTCTGTACTTTGTCAATCACAACTGGTTTAGCTATAAGAAGATAAAGGAAATTTAATTATTTAAAAAAAAAAAAAAAAAAACAAAATAAAATTTAAAATACTTTCTTAGATTTACGAGAATGTTTGACATTTTAAATAAAACTCTCTCCCGCGACCATGATTGCTGTAAGGCATTCGAAACGTCGGGAACCAAAAATCAAAATAAATTCGCGAAAAAATCCGAAAAGATAGTTTTATTTAAAATTTAAAAGTTTAAATTTAAAATTCATTATAGTTTGACTAATATCAATTTTTTAACTGAATTCTAACACAACATCAGTTACCTAATATAAGAACCATTTAGTATTATGTGCCTATGTATAAGACTGTCCGTAACAATATGATATTATACAAAAATAAGTGAAGGGTATCGATAATCTCCCATTTCTGCCCCCCAATAATGAAAAAAATTATGTCATTAGATTTGATAAATTCTTTACATATTCTGAAAGTAGACTGTGTGCCTGATAAAAAAATATATTTATGAGAGAAAAACAACTATAGTTAATAGTACTCGTGGGAAGACAAACTCTCTTCTCTGTAAAGAAGATCAAATCGCATAACATAATTTTTATCATTATTCATTGTCCTTTGAATTGTATTTATTTTAAAAATAATACTTAGTAAGTACTTAGAATTCCAAGCAATTTGTTTACTAATTATAATATCCTGATTAGATTTAGTTCAACCATCCTTAAGATCAATTAGTACTATAAAAGTACTATAATAGGAAGTCATATATCTATAAATAAATTTTAAATGTTCAAGAAATTCTCTTACTTTCAGGTATTTGTACATGATGCTGTTGCTGATCATTTGGGTCAGTTGATAGGATTTGTATATGAGGTGGCATTGCTGCTTCATTTGTTGTATTTACTCCTGTTGCCACTACAGTTATATTGTTATCTGTAAGAAACAGTATAAGCTAACATTAGCTTTTAATATTCTGTCCCCTTAAATATTATTAACATTTTATTAAAAATGAATTTGTAGTAGATGCTCTTTATAAATAAGAAAATAGCTATAAAATAGTTAAGTAGAAAGTAGTGTAAAGTAAAACTTCAAAGTAAAATATAGTAAAGGTTTAGATAATCAAAGTCACTAAAATTAAAACAAAATAAAATATTGAGAGACAATCAATAATAAGAGACAATTGTGAATGGTGATTTATTGTCTGTATAGTATTGAATTAATACATGTTGCATTTTTAAGTAGCACCTTGCAGTTAATTTCTTAGAAATCAATTGTTAACCAAACCACCTGTGGCTCGGCAGTCACTGACAGGTTAAAAATAATAAAATTATAAATATTATATTACATTATTCATTACTAAATAAAGGAAAAATTAATTACCCGCATCTTGTGAATGTATCCTTTTATGAGCATTTAGTAGGGTAAGATGGCCAAACATAAGTCCACAGACATCACATTTAAAACTAATATTTGATATTGTATTTTGGAGTCCATTTGGTGCTATTTGCATTTGATTGACCAGGGCATAGTTATAGGAGAAAGGTTGAGCTATATAACATGTCTTATCATCACTAGTGGTTAATTGTGCTATATTAACACCACCAGTAACACCTCCTGCACTACCAGTTGCACCAGTACCAATTTTACCAATCATATTAACATTGGTTGTATAACAAAATGTTGGAAACTCCTGAAATAAACACATACAATGGTTAAAAATAAAATTTATTGAGGCCTTGTTTACCACTATAAACTCAAATTGATAATAGTAAATGTATCATCAATACCTGTTGTGTTTGCTGAGTCTGCTGCGTTTTTTGTTGGACATTTTCTATATTTTTGCCTTGTGATTTTTGAGGATGCTCTTGATATTGAAGAGTCGGAACCGAGCCGGCTTGTACAGCGTTAGTTGTGAACATTGTGTATAAATTTGTCACTCATCAGTCTTAAATATATCTTAGATTCTTAACATATTAATCTGTAAATAAAAAAAACCTTATAGGTGTTGTAGCAATAATATTTTGAAAGATTATTATATTATAATTTTAAAAGCGCGGCTAATTGTATATACACGAAAGAGAAACTCCGAAAACATACAGTGCGAAGGCATCGGGTAATGTTTCTTATCAGTCTACTCTACTCGTAAAAAGATCATTCGTCCGATGAAAGCAGTGTCTCCGTAAATAGTGTCGATATAATGTAAGAAAAGGATGACGGACTATCTATAGACGCGCTTCAAGTAAACTAGTCGCCATTGTTAATTTCTGAGAGACTGTTTAATGATTGATAGCTCATAAGAAGGCATAATAGTCCTCAAAACACGAATAAAATAATAATAATATTGTTTTGTCTTACCTCGAATACCATTATGTATGTATGTATATTAAATTCACTAATTTCAGCGATATGCTTATGTTGTTTCTATCTCACTTTGAAATCTCTAATTCTCCATCTCACTGAATAAATGAAATGGCGATACAAATAAAATGGCGTCGAAATTAAGCATAGACAATAAAAATTTAAGTTAAAAATAATTTACCTTTTTTTTACTAGCAATTATTTAATTACTAAATTATTTTGATTTCTTTAAAATAATTAACCAAATCTTAGATAAAGCTAATCAGATTATAACTTCAATAACAAATCTTAATAAACATTTTTTTGAGTTAATATCAATTTTATTTAAGCTGTAATTATTACTATAAAAGTACTAGCGTTTGCTTCTGGCTCCGGTTCGTCCCTTCTCACGTTTTAACATTTATTATAGATTTCTCAATGAGATGTTTTCCCGTAATAAAAAGTATCATACATACAAGTACATGTTGATCCGGATAACTAGCTATCATCATACTAATATTATAAAGAAAGATTTTTTGTTCGTTTGTTTGTAGCAAATAAGCTTCGAAACAAGGGAAGACAAAGGATAGTTTTTGTCCTGAAAATCATTCCCTAAGGGAGTAATAATGTGGATGAAAGTTTGTATGAGGAATCAACCCAAGGACGAACTCGAGCGAAGCGAGGGTGAGTCGGTAGTCATTTATATTTTATTTAACTGCCTTTGTGGTATAGTGGCTAGCATGAACGGCTGCACACCCGGAGATCCTAGGTTCGAGTCCCGAGTCGGGCCAAGTTTAGTTATTGAGTCTTTCTGTATAGTAAGCCTCAGTAACAGCCCGGAGTTGGGAAGTTGACGGTGTTTCACCCCCGTGCCTCGGAGAGGACGTAAAGCCGTCGGTCCTGCGCCTTAACTCTCATTGGTCGTCCCATCAGAGTATGAGAGTGACTGGAATAGAGAGTGCACTTGTGTCTGCGTGTACACTTGTGCACTATGATATCTCCTACACAATTGGCTAGTCTCAATGAGATTGGCCGCCGTGGCCGGAATCGGTCAGGGGAACATCATATTTTATTTGATTTTCTTGTTACAAACGGGTTTTTTTAAACTCATTTTCTCTAAATCGTATTCTATAATGAAACATTTTTTATTTATATAAATTGTTATAAGACATGCAAAATTATTATATACGTTAGTCGGCACACACCAGTCCAAAAATCCATCGGATTTTGTCCGCATCTCCTCGTATGTATGCTACATAGGATTTGGTCCGCTTCGAATATTTTATGGACTCGGTATACTTAAATACTGCCTAAGTACTTTCGTAAATACTGCCCTGATAGTAAGATATTCCCAGGGCTCGGAGACCCGTTCAATTTTTAAGCCAGTTTTGGTCATAGACCCCACCCAAGCCGAAAGTTTTTTCGGTTTAAGATTTCAGTTACGTTCTTGAACTGTTTAAATTCGGGAGAACGTTTTTTGACGAATTTAGTTTCCGTGAACAAAATTAACTGGTTAAAATGAGTTTTTGCTGCTGTGTTTACATTTGGCGCGTTTTGTTAATGGTGAATGGCTTAGAAAGATGCATGCATGTTTCTTACAGTGAGAAACGTGCATGCATCCTTCTCGGATGGATTTCGGTTTTGATATTTCATTCGTAAGAATCTTACTTACGAATAAAATATCAAAACCGAAATACAACCTTTCTCTAAGAATAACTGTTAACCATTATTATTTCGGTTTACTAAGCCGTTCGTTTTCATTAACCTGTTAAAGAACGAGCGATGAATTGACCATTACATTACCGAAATAAACCAATTTTTTTTTCAAACCGGTTCCGAGCCCTGGATATTCCAATAGTTTACGACATTTATATATAGTAGGTATAGATTAGACGACAGTGATATTACATAGAAACATTAAGTATATGATGTGGAGTGGAGTAGGTGGAGTATTACAGAAGTAGGATAGGTAGGCTAACTAAAATTAGATGTAATGGCACAGTTTTATTATTTTGTAGACTTAGAGTAACGTCTCCAACACCATTACGAAAAGATATAACGTACTACATTAATTCATAAATCAAAACAACGCTTTTCACGCCCTTTCTCCACTCAAGACGACAACTTAAAAAAATCAAATAAGTATTTTATATCAGAATGACAACTTGTGGAATCAAATAATTATTTTACAACTAGCATTGCCCGCGGCTCCGGCTGCGTTCAGGTGACTAAAATCCAAATTCTTAGATTTTACATATTAGTATAATTTTACTTAGCAGTTTTTGTATTTTTTCTCAGAATTGAGATATTTTCTTGAAGTATCCTATATTTTAACTCGGATAACCAGCTATCACGATACCAAGTATCATCAAAATCCCTCCAATGGTTTTTCTGTGATGCGGTAACAGACAGACAGACAGACACCTCTCTACGGCCTCTGTACTGATAATAATGTCAATTTCAATAAGATTCTCCAAAAAAAATATGTAGGTACTTATAGATAATTTACATTATAATTAAAGTGTAAAATACAATTATCACAGTGTATATTAATGTTTAGAAAAATAGTTCAGTATTACATTGGGTTTACTATATTGTTTACACTCTATATCATTTAATATATAATTTAACCGATTATGCCAATTTTTACAAGTTTCTGGTTTGATCTTCTCCAAAATATTATGATCTGGACACCAGAAATTTCTTAGATCTCTATTGCCTAAGCTATCTTTAAGCTTATGAAGCATATTAATCACTAAATAATACATAGAATTCCTTGTCCAATAACTGTTGTCCATAGTTACACATTGCCATAAAAAAAGTGTCTTAATAAAATAGCTACATAGTTTTGTAAAACCTTGAATATCTCTAAAATGTTTGATGAGTCTTATAACACTCTTCAAATTGTTGTTGTTTTTTAAATAGTATCTTTCTTGAAATGGAAATGTTAATCTCCAACTAAAATCATCACCATTCGGTTTAGGTACTACAAAATACGTATGTATATTTGTCGATTCTACTTTGGTAAAGCAAACTTTTGAATCAACCGGTTTTTTTGGTAATTTAAATGTAAAAGTGGGTACTAAGTCGACATCAATAGCACTATTATCTTCTTTAATTACTGTTAACGTAATAGCAGGACCTGATATTTTTTTAAATATTCTATATTTATGCTTATGTTGCAAAACTAAGACTCTTATTCCATTTTCCAACGGCATAGTGTTCAAAGCATGATCAACTACACTCTGCATCCAAGATCGAAATTTTGATACGGATAGCTTGTATTCCTTATTACACCATAGTTTTGTTTTCATAAAACCCTTATTAGATGTCTCAGGTATTTTAGCCAACCTACGAAATTCTGAAGGCATTATTATATTTGTATAATCGTGAAATGAATTACACGTAGATAGTTTAATGTTTTCGTAGTTAATGGGAAATTTCAAAATCACATTAATGTCATATTCACTTGCATGACCCACACGCAATCCATCAAAATAACTACCCAAGAAATCGAGTTTTGGTTTTAAACTATCAAAAAGTTTATCAGCAGTTCTCATTTTCTTAATTATTTCCTTTAACACTAAAAAGAGAATGGCCGTGTTTTCCTTCTTTTCTTTCTTTTTCATTTTTATATAATTTGTATTAATTCTTTGAAGAATTGTTTCCACTGCCTTATTTTGTACTTTATATTCATTTTTTTCTGTTGTATACATCTCGAGACTGAAAATATATAGGTACAAATATTGTATTATACAAAAAATAAATCTTACCTTTATAGCAAACTCAACAAATTGTATGAGTCAATTTCCGCTTCTAATTTATAAAAATTATTTAATATTTGTTACCTTCTTCAATTTTCGCAAACAAGTATATCAACTCTGTGTAAGGATGATACTGGAGTAGTTTTTCGTAAAATTTTTAAATCAATAAAAAGGGGTAATACCCCAAATATATGCATTGGTAAATTACTGACAACTGGACAGCAAAATGTTACCACATTAAATAGTTGCATGTTCTTTCATGTTTACGATATAAAATAGCTATTACAATTCCACCACTTAAATTCAGTTTAGTTAGTAATTAATTATTAGGTCAAAAAATTATATGTGAAACATGCCTCGTAATTTCATTAACTGCACAATTATTAATAAAAAGATGGCTTTTTTACTGAGTTGTTTAATGTTTCCATGGAATAATTAAATGTAGTTTAGTAATTGAAGCAAAAAATATTTACATCGTGTCAGATATAGGTACTTTCTTAACGTAGGGTTGCCAGATAATCGGGGATATCTCGGAGTTTGTAACAAGTCCCTTTTCCAGTTATTACCCTATCTGTCTTGAAATCTAAATATTAAATAAATATAAATATGTTGGGACATTATCTATTAATCTATCTTTGTGACAAAATTTCATCCAGATCCGTTCAGCCGTTCTGGCGTGATTAACAAACATCCATCCATCGAAAATTTTGCATTTATATTATAAATGGGGTAATGGGATTAACAATAATAATAAAAACTAAAACTAAAAATAAATAAATATGTTGGGCCATTAACACACAGCACCATCTAGTTCCATGGTAAGCTATGAGGCTTGTGTTATGGATACCAAATAGTTGATACACTACGCATATATAACTTTAAATTTATACATATTATAAATATAAACACCCATGACTGGAGTACACACATTCGTGCTCATCACAAAACGAATGCCCCCAACGGGACTCGAATCCGCGACCATTGGCACGGCAAGTAGGGTCACTACAAACTGAGCCAAACGTGTCAAAGCCAAAAAATATATATAATTTTTGTTTATGTAGCGCGATTTCCATAGCATTTTCATTCAATACCGATTTATTCTGATATATTAGATAGTTTTTTAGTTCTGTTAATTAGACTTTTCGATAGTCAAACATCTAGTTTACAGTTGGACTCCAACTCTTATTCTATAACCCCGAAAACAAACAAGTCTATTTTGGGCGACACAACTTACAACATAGGTACTAACTTTTTTACTTTACCTTTTTCCTAACACTTTACTTCATATTTCATACATTGTAAAACATACATGCAATTTCTCTTCTTAAAATATTCATTCACACTATATTTATATTTTATACGATCATATCAATTTTGATCATGAGTTTTTAATATTAGCTAAATGCATTGAAAAAATTAATCAAAAATAGAATATTTTTTGTGTGAAACTGATTGTTGTTTGGCCGGATACCCAATATCAATATCCATCAAACAATAGCATAAGGTGTATTCGTGTTTTATCATGACTTAATAATGATCAGTGAATGAGAAGTGTTTCATGTTTATTTGCTCAATTACCCTTATAATTGGCATTCAGTTTACTTGAAGCAATACCCATATTCGTCAGTTTGCCTAAATATATTTTTCTGCAAGTTGCCGAATTTAAAAATCGATTTTGGATTATGTGCCTCACAGATATTATTTCTTGCAGTTTATTATTGAAAAGATTGTTTTTTTTTTAATACCCTGTAGGCTGTACTTATGCTCAGATATTCTGTAACTATCTGGTATTTGGCAGGGAAACAAAATAAAGTCCGATTCAGGATAGTTATGGGATATTCGATTCATGACTAAAATTTATTACTAAGAAAACTTAATAGGTACTTACCTATTAATTATTTTTCGAGGTTTTGAGCTTGATATTATTGGAAATCTTTTTTGTATATAAAGTTCGAATGTTTGTTTGTGTGTGTATTGCTTGTATGTTCTTCATGCTGAAACTGCTTGATAAAATTTGGATAAAATTTAGTATATTTATAGACTTAGATCAGACCAGATGATCAGAACACATAAGTTATTTTAAGGTCCTTAGGGATATGCCAGAGAGATGTAATGGGTAATAATATTACAAATCTTAATTACCTTCTTAGCACAATAACTGTATAAAATTTCATAATGCTAATAGCTTTTACTGTTTAATATATTTAGTTCCACTAGCAGCTCACCCTCTCTTCGCTCGAGTTCGCCTCCAGGAAAGCACAAACAGATCTATCCCACGTTCAGTTTTCCGGGATAAAAAGTAACCTGTTGTTTGACCACAACATAAAGTATCAGTATGCCAAATTTTACTAGATTAGGTGCATAAGTTGTTGTGTAATAATCTGTATAAGTTACTATAGTTTTTTAACTATCCCCCAGGAACTCTTTAATTTTTCGGAATGAAAATCATCTACAATGTTGACCAGGGATATAGGGCCCCAATAGTTTCGGAGATTAGCCCATACAAAAATGGTTAAGATTTAACAAATGTTCAACGTGATTCTTTAAATTAGAATAATTTAATTTTAGCCGTTTCTGAGATTAGCGTGCACAAACGCACAGACAAACAGATAAACAGACAAACAAAAAAAAATCTAACAATCATTGTTTTGGGTACTATTTGTGTTGATAAAGGTCTCAATAATATTTTTTCTCATATATCTCCATGTACACACAGCAACCCGTTACATTTTTATTATATGTAAAGATAATGTATAAATAAAACATATAATAAATAATACTTAATACATAAAATATAACATTTGCACAATACATATGTATTTATTCAATAGATTAATGTTAATATTTACATTTTTTAAATTATCCGATATTCTGATTACTATCTGTTTTAGAATGCCATTCCTTTTTAAATCTTTCTAATGCATCCTGAATATTTTTAAAGTTAGCTGGTTTTAAATCCTGATTTTGAGGTTCTTGTACCTCTTGATGCTCTTGCTCTATATTAAAGAGAAAAATATATTTAAAAAATTAAGTTCCTTATTTAAAATTGAAAATTGGTAAAATCGAGCAAAATACAATTTATTTACATATTATATTATTAACTAGCAGTACCCGCGGCTTCGCCCGCGTCCAAACTTCCGATCGCTAACAAAATTCATAGGATCACCCACTGGGCTAATCTGAAGATTACCTGAAAATTTCATCAAAATCGCTCCAGCTGTTTTGGAGTTCATAGGAAACATACATACACACGTCAATTTTCATTTTATTTAATCAACAATTTAAATTTTATTAATTTATTTATTGCTCGGAAAATGGAGTCTTTTGTATCTTGGATCCATTTGTGAATTCAAACCTTGCAGGGACCCACTCGAACATACACAAAAAATATCATTTAAATCGTCCCTGCTGTTTAGGAAATGATCAGTGGCACATCCACTGCAGTGGCACCTACTGGGTCAATTGTATTTTCAAACCATCCAGGAACCCATTGAATTATACACACAAAATTTCATGCGAATCGGTCCAGTCCTTAAGGAAGAGTAGGTTAACAAACACACATACAGAAGAATTATATATATTAAGAAGATATAAATAAATAAATATAAATATGTCAGGACATTAACACACAACTCTAGTTTCATGGTAAGCTACGAGGCTTGTGTTATGGATACCAGATAGTTGATACATTATACATATATAACTTTAAATACATACATATTATAAATATAAACACCCATGACTAGAGTACAAACATTCGTGTTCATCACACAAATGAATGCCACCAGCGGGACTCAACCCGCGACAGCTGGCGCAGCAAGTAGGGTCACTACAAACTGAGCCAAACATGTTGTCTAAGTATATAATAATAGCTAAATAATTAATCCAAAAGTAAACTAACCTTGGTTTCCCTCTTTAGGTGTTATATATGCATGTTCTACATTGATTAGTTTCCTAGTTTTATAGAGAAATCTCAAATTCTTTTCTGGCAATTTATCAAATAATGGATCAGAGCACTTTGGAGAAGGATCTTCTTCAAAAAACATATATGTTCCTAACGGATTTTCAAATGTACCTAAAATTAATATAATCCATAGCAAATGAGTGATTTGCAATTCAACCATGTATAATATTACTTATTCTTGTCACAATTAATAAAATACTAAATGTAATATTTATGTCAAAATCAATTGGTAAAGTAGTACCTTTACCAATAAAATTTAGCTTCCTCATACATTTAAAGAAACAATATTTTACACTGCATTGTTAATCTTTTTAGATAAACACATATCGATTCTTTGAGACTTTATAGGTAAATCAATCTAAAATATATACATAAGTTACCTGTAAAAAAAGTATCATCTAACTGAAATATTGGTTTATTGGTATCAATTCCTAAAACATGAATATTGTTATAATTATCTAAATTGATAGGGTCTTCAAATTCAACAAAAACTAAAATTTCTTCTTCTTCAGAGTTGCTGTCCATGGTAAATAACTGTCAAAGGAGAAAAGATAGGGAGCCCTAAGTTAAAACGTATACCAAGAATTTAATATAATTAAGTCGTAGGTGGTATACCTACCTACAGTAACAAACAATAAGTTTAACTTTTAAGGTTTGTTTTAACTAATTTGCACATTTTTTTACCTAGACCATGCATACGGCATTCATTTATAAAGATAAAAGAGCCTAGGCTTACATATAACAATTCAAACCCACTGCCCAACGCACTAAAAATAAAATGTTAACATTTGTGATTTGTCGATAGAAAGCATGTTCCTTGTAGTTTGTACAATACTTTTATCCTTTTGTAATACAGATACACTTAAAAAACTAAAAGAATAAACTTCAGAGTTAAGAATAGATTTTTATTTTTTATTCCATGGAATCATGGAATAGATCATTCATAAATCATAATTTTTTTATTTGTTATCGATGATCCATGTTATTCATCTATGGTAAAAAGACAAAAGTTAAAAGATAACATAAGTACTCTATGATCTACCTATGGTTTAGTAATTAGTTGAATGTCAACTTTTCTGGACTGAAACGTGTAACTGAAACTGAAATAGTTTTTGTAATTACTACTTATTACAAAAATTATTTCAGTTTTTACTTAAAACTAAAAATTATGAAAAAAAGGAGGTAATTTATAAAATAAATAAACCGACTTTTGAAAAAATACTAAAAAGTAAAATATAACGGAACTTTCGTTTACTATCAATACCTATTCAGATATTTTCGAAGTCGGTGCCAGTAAATGAAAACCCATTCTGTTATTTTTTACTTTTTATTACTTTTTTTGAAATGGTTAATTTTTCAAACGACTTCGAAAAAGGAGGAGTTTCTCAATTCAACCGTATTTATATTTTGTTTTTTGAAACCAGGATCTGATTTTGGCATCCCAGAGAAATCGAGGGGAACGTTTGTTAATTTTTTTCATTAAATATTTTAAAGCACTACTTTTTAATGAAGGTCTGGAGTCGATCAGCAGATGGTGCCGAAAAACAGTCGAGGAAACTCCTCAACCATTTACAGCAATTACCTTGTGTTTGGGCTTAATTAATTTATATTGATAAGAACTTTACACCTGATGGAGATGGATTGTGAGTTGTGACTGCCATTAGGGGTTTGAATAATTGCCTTAATCGAATATGTTTTTAATAGATACCTACTCAGATATTTTCGAAGTCGGTGCCAGCCAATACAAATCAAAGCACACCGACTTCAAATAGGTATATCTGATTAGCTATCTATTCTAAATGAAAACGCCCGTTTAGTTATTTTTCACTTTTCAGTGCCTGGAAGTTGATTTTTTTAAGACATACAATTTTAATGAAATATAATTTGTCACTGCACATAATTTAGATAAAATCGGTTCAATACCTTTGGCGTCAAATACACACAGATATACAGAACAGACAATTTTTTTAATAATTATCGTTTTAAGGTCTTTATTCCGCACACAATACGTTAGTCATTAATTTCAAAAATGTTTCATGTACAGATTGCATGTTATTACTATTTTAACACGTTAACTGTCCATGACCCACGTGTGGGTCATGCAATCAATGACTATCTAATAAGGAGTGCTCGCCAAATTTCATCATCTCGCAGCGATCTATCCATTGTTAGTAAGAAAAATAACGAGATTTTCACAAAATAAACGTAAATGTTAAACAGATTTATTTTCGAGAAAGTAAGGTTATATCTGTTAAAACTGTCGTATGTCGCTAACCAGTGGCCGTAAATCCCTTTTACACACAGATAACGCAAGAGTTTTTCAATTTTTCACCTCTTAAGTCCATGACACACGAGTGTGGCACTAAATTTTCAGCTTGTACTTCCGTCACATATATGTGGGTCATCATGAAAATGCGGGGTATCAAGGCGTTATTTAAAAAAATCTATACATATTAACACGTTCACTGTCCAGCAAAAATGTTGAAATTAGCTCTCACGTCTAATTTATTTTTTCGTTCATATGTACTGTCAAAGTACATACTTGCCTTTATGCCACCTCTAGTCCATAAAGGTTATAAAAATTAAGGGGGAAACCTTAGAGTATACATAAGCTATAGAGCGCGCGTAAGCAAGTATGAACTGTAAGCACGAGTATGAACAGTCTCGAAATGTCAAGGGCGACACTTTATATATGTAGCAATATACTCTATGGGCGACACTATCTATTATTCACGAAAAGACATGCGCGCTGATTGTTTCTCTCGTCCGTATTTATTTAGATTTATGTAATCATGGTGAAATGTGCAGTTCCAAGCTGTAAAAACGATTCATGGAAGCAAAAAATTTATTTTCATCTGTACACAAAATTTTAATCAGAAAAGAGATTTTAACAAAATTACACAGGCGTGAGCGGGTGTTGCGGGGGGCGGGTGGGCGTTTCAACACAACACGTGTTTCCGCACCCCTCGCTTTCTACTTTCCGTCATTAAGGGCCTGTCCGCACTGCGATATTTGACCGCGCGATTTTTATTCTCGCGTATTATATTCCGTGATCGAAATTGTACTTATTACGCACTGCGAATAAAATTTCGTACGATTTTTGTCAATTTGATGCAGTTCCCGACTGAGACAAACGTCTAAAATGATAAATCTACCATATCTACTGAGACATTTTAGTAATCTAAAATGATGTTTTTCTACATTAAATATCAAGAGCTGCGAAAATACAGTAAAAAGTTTTTCGGATATTACAGAATGACTACAAAATCATTCGATAAACCAATAGCGTCGGTGCACGACTGAGCGAAACGCGCGAATTTTATTTCGCAGTGCGGCCATAGCCATACATATTATATACTGTACAAAACATTCGTGCGGTAATAATCCGCGCCGCATCGCGTTCAATTTGCATCAAATCACAGATTTTTTTTCCGCGCGAATGTTTAACCGCCAGTGCGGATACTCCTATAAGATTCAATGTGTTACAGAATTGCGGGAATAAAAACGTGCGGTGAAATATTGCAGTGCGGACAGGCCGTAAGAGCCAGTGTTGTAGCACGTTGTACTACTCGAATATTTTGTATAACCATCTATACTTATTATAAAAACTAGCATTGCCCGCGGCTCCGCCCGCGTTCAGATGACCAAAAAACAAATTCTTAGGTTTTGCATATTAGTATACTCTTACATTGCAGTTTTTTGTATTTTTTCTCAGAAATGAGATATTTTCACGCGGTAAAAAGTATCCTATTGTTGACCCGGATAACCAGCTATCACCATACCAAATTTCAGCAAAATCCCTCCAGTAGTTTTTCTGTGATGCGGTAACAGACAGACAAAAATTCTAAGAACTATAGATTCGGCCTCTGTATCGATAATAATGTCTATTGCAATAAGATTTTCCAAAAAGTATTTAATGTACAGATTCGGCTTAGTTACAATTTTATTATAAGTATGTATATAGATATTAATCGCAATTAGTGACTAATCTTTTCTTTTTAAAATGTTAACAAAATTGCGGGTTTTTTTATTTTTATTCGCAGGCGACGAGGTCTGAAGAGGGGCATCGGGTCAGCGTGTATTGGCGGCGGTCAAGGCATCGCATTACTCATTGAAACTGTTTAATTTAAAATTTATATACTTGATTTAATGGTTATAATCAAAATTTAGAAATGCTATTTTGTATGTAAATTTTTTACCTTTATGATATTTATTAAAATATTTGTTTGTTACATAAAGTGTGTTTTCTCTGAATCTAGCTATCCTTTTGTAGAAAATTCTGGATGTTTACATTTGACAATTATTTTTAAGTTTTTAAATTTTGAATATTTTGTATTTAAAATATAGCGAAATTAAATCTGCAAAAGCTTTACCCCTTAATATTTAAATACATTAAATTTAAGAAAACATCGATGTTACGAAATACGTGTTTCATTAATCATTTATTCTTAGAAATCAGTTGTACAAAAAAAAAAACGAAAACGATATAAGGTCATTGCCTGAAATAAATATTTGAATATCTGGTAAGTAGGTACATACTAAATGCCAATTGTGTGTTTATTGAAAATACAAATAATTAACTACAAATACATTTATATATGTTGGGACATTAACACACAGCACCATCTAGTTCCATGGTAAGCTACGGGGCTGTGTTATGGATACCAGATAGTTGGTACACACTATATAAATTTAAATACATACATATTATAAATATAAACACCCATGACTGGAGTACAAACATTCGTGATAATCACACAAATGAATGCCCCCAGCGGGATTCGAACCCGCGACCGCTGGCACAGCAAGTAGGGTCACTACAAACTGAGCCAAACGTGTCGTCGTGTATTGTATGTACATAAATATATTTTAATAAGAATAATTTAATTATGAAAATAATTCAAATATCAGCAAGTGTGGTAGAAGCAAGTCAATATTAATCTATTACTAGCATTGCCCGCGGCTCCGCCCGCGTTCAGATGACCAAAAACTAAATTCTTAGGTGTTACATATTAGTATACTCTTACATTGCAGTTTTTGTATTTTTCCTCAGAAATAAGATATTTTCCCGCGGTAAAAAGTATCCTAGGATCGCGCGCTACATCGCCCGGTTTATATAGCTTGAGCAGGCGGTCGAGCGATGCGGGGCAGAGGGGATGGACTCGCCGTAGGCATCTCAATGCTCGCCAAGCATTAAAAATGTTTCGCTACTAATTACTTCTAACAACGATATCTCAAAAACTATTCATCTGATTGATTTAGTGTAAAGAGCAATTTAATCTGCATTAATTGACTAAGCTAACTAAAATATTCATTTGGAATAAGGATTAATACCGACTAAAGAAATAACTTTGAAAATAACGTAATGTTTTTAATTAAAAATGTTAACATAAAGTGGTTATTGTAAGTCAACCGTAAGAGATAGAGATATGCTATCGCGGGACTTTTTTTGTAGCATTTTTATAGATTTGAATCTCTAGTACATTACTTAACTGTATCTTTGCTAGTTTACGCGGCGTTCGCGTGGAAAGTTCCCATTTGGCGAGATTTTTTGCGACCTCTTCAACATTTGTCGCCGTATTTCAGCTAATTTACATAAAAGCATAATAAATTATATACTAAACCTTCCTCAAGAATTACTCTTTCTATTGTTGAAAACCGTATAAAAATCCGTTCAGTAGTTTTCGAGTTTATCGCGTTCAGACAGACAGGAGGACAGACAGGAGGACAGACAGGAGGACAGAAAGACGCGGCCGGGGGACTTATTTTTATAATAAGTATAGATAAGTCCCCCGGCCGCGTCTTTCTGTCCTCCTTGTCTGTCCTCCTGTCTGTCTGAACGCGATAAACTCGAAAACTACTGAACGGATTTTTATACGGTTTTCAACAATAGAAAGAGTAGTTCTTGAGGAAGGTTTAGGTATATAATTTATTATGCTTTTATGTAAATTAGCTGAAATACGGCGACAAATGTTGAAGAGGTCGCAAAAAATCTCGCCAAATGGGAACTTTCCACGCGAACGCCGCGTAAACTAGCAAAGATACAGTTAAGTAATGTACTAGAGAATTCCAAAATCTATAAAAATGCTACAAAAAAGTCCGCGATAGCATATCTCTATCTCTTACGGTTGACTTACAATAACCACTTTTATGTTAACATTTTTAATTAAAAACATTACGTTATTTTCAAAGTTATTTTCTTTAGTTCGGTATTAATCCTTATCCAAATGAATATTTTAGTTAGCTTAGTCATTTAATGCAGATTAAAATTGCTCTTTACACTAAATCAATCAGATGAATAGTTTTTGAGATATCGTTGTTAGAAGTAATTAGTAGCGAAACATTTTTAATGCTTGGCGAGCATTGAGATGCCTACGGCGAGTCCATCCCCTCTGCCCCGCATCGCTCGACCGCCTGCTCAAGCTATATAAACCGGGCGATGTAGCGCGCGATCCTAGGATACTTTTTACCGCGGGAAAATATCTTATTTCTGAGGAAAAATACAAAAACTGCAATGTAAGAGTATACTAATATGTAACACCTAAGAATTTAGTTTTTGGTCATCTGAACGCGGGCGGAGCCGCGGGCAATGCTAGTAGTTTTATAAATTAAGATTCTTTGTATTTGTCAAAAATAAAACCTTTAAATTTTAATGGCACCAAAGTACCTTACAATATTACTTAATTTTAATTTTAAACATTATTATAATTTTAATAAGTTTTATAATAATTGCATGGAATATTATTTATTTCATTTTAGCTGTTAATATTATAATTATTACAATTTTTTTAGAAAACTTTATTAATTAGTCATCTTGCATCAATGCGAAAAGTTAAAGAGAATAATATATAATTTTAATTTAGTTTACTATTATTAAATAAAATCAAAATATTAAGGAACACTATTACTACATAGATTTACAAATGAAATATTAATTTGAAATACTGTAATTTTAGATAATAAAGTCTATATGTGCGTGAATAAATGGTTATGTAAATAGTTAATGTTAATATATTTCTTTTTAAATAATATTCTAAAAGTTTTACTAGGTGCATCACTATTCAACCGCTTCATCTACAAGTATATATCAATAGGTATGTATAGATAGAACACAGTGCTTACGTTTTGTTAATAGGACAATGTTACAATGAGCGATACGCGCGCTCTATAGCATATGTATTATGATTTATGTATATTTTAAGCTTACCGCGGATATATTGATGATTGAAGTTTTATGAACTATTAAAAAATGACTATCATATAGTTTATAATTATGATTTCAATTAATGTAATCTAATGTTAATTTATTCATTTCGTTTGTCGACTTTTAAACATCGAGTGGCAGTTTTTAATAGTAAATTCCTAAAAGCCAAAATAATGACTTGAATTAATAGTAACACATTGGAGCAAACTTTACTCTTTACTAAAAAAGCATTATCTACACTCTCTGGCTGTTGAATCACAGTTAAATCATGATCAGCTTGACTGCTACCGCGTAACGTAAGTAAATAGAATGTCACTAGGTCAGCTAGTTCGATTAGAGGTGTGCATACCATGGATAATGGACATCTATTGTGCGCACTTCAGAATTCAGATAACAGTTGATTGAGCTCCTAACATTTTATGTTTACTTCTTAAGCTTTGGGGAAATGTATTGGAAATCAATATAAAAAATATCGATACAAAGTTTATTTTATAAAAGCATCCTGCAACAACACAAAAACTTCCTTAAAATTGCAACATTTTAGATTTACATATTACTGATGTAATCAGTGTATTAATTTAGAGAAAAAATAAAATAAACAATAATAATGGTTTAAATAATAGGGTTGCGTCATTTTGACCTTTTTTTAATCAGCATAATAAAAACTATGATTAAGTATAGATCGAAATTTGAAACTGAACCAAAAATTTTACTCCATTTATTGCTCTATAAGAACATTTATTTATAACCTTGATTTGTAAAAAAAACTATCAGCATTGAATCATAAATAAAACTATTTTATTGCATATCACATCCACATTTCTTAATCACTCACTGGATAATGGATATTAGAAACTTTTTCACGTTGGTAACATTTTTAAGAGAACTTTCCAGAACCCATATAGAATAAAATAAATGCTTAGGTACATCTTTTAATGTAATGTACATGACTCAGTATTATAATGAAACTCATTCAACAGTAAATATGAGAGAAATATTATGCAATAAACAATTCGGAGTGTAGTCTTCGCCTCCCAGGGAAACCGTTAATTCTTTCCTCCAGGAGGCTGTAGCGGTTGGCCACGATCTTTTCCACGTAGTTTTATTCCAATTGCCCTTTCAATTTTGCCAAGAACAATATTATTAGGTATTCCTCGACCGGCTTCATAGTCATTAACAATCTGAGGTTTTTCACATATTTTTGTAGCCAAATCTTTTTGACTCATGCCTTTAGCTTGTCGACCTTGCATTATTAGTTTTCCTAAGTCCAGGGGTATTTTTTCATGTCGTAATTCTTCAGTTTCTCTGTCCAGTTTTGCAGTATTCTTTGTAGTGCCATGTTGTTTATTAGTTCCCGCACCATATTTTTGTTGAGTGTCTACTGGTAAACCTTGGCGACGTGCAGCATTTACTGCTTGTTCTGTTTTCAGAGCTGACGCCTTAGGAGGCTTTTTTCGAAGAATTGTCACTGTATCCCAGTCCGACATTATAAAGATAATTTAGCGGATAACAAAATATGATGAAATAACCAAAATCTCAGGTTGTTCCTATTTTTTGATAGGAGAAATACGACGTGCTTATGCATAGACTATAGACACATTAAGGAGACTATAGATAATAGAACACGAGGATCTTGTTGTTCCTGGTCTATGGCACTATGCACCATGCACGGCGGGCATAGACCAGGAACAACAAGAACGACGGGCTCAACAGAAAACATAAAAAGTATAAACTTAGCAACAGAACTAAAATTGCCTGTACGTGATTGATGAATTGTGTGTACTTGTGTCTACTTCAAGAAATAAGAAAACCCAGAAGCATAGTAAATTATTTTTAAAAATTATAAATTATCTATCCGACATATATATGTAAGGCCAGCTTAAAACAAATTGAACCAATCCGTATAAAACAAAAAAAAACCGTTTAAAACCGAAATAAACTTTTTTTTTAAATTATTATTTATTATTTATTTTATATTTATATATTATTTATTATTATATATTAACTACATGTTCTTGATTTTACCGAGGTAGGAATATGACGGAGTACCTATACACTGTGTAAAGATTTTTATATGTGTGATAGTATAACTCGCTTCATCTAAAAAGAACGCTGGAAGAAAGTGGAGAGGGTATGTTTGCGCATGGATATACTCGCGCACAAAAGTACTAAGCCTATTATTTTATTTTTCATAGCATTTCGCTCGTGGCTTCCTATATTAGTTATTGGTAGGGACATTGAAAAATATATTAGATAGAATATCATTAAATAGAATTCTATTCATTATAAAAAATATGTTTGATTCAGTGCAGAATGTTTAATCTACTTACAAAAAAATTAAATTAATACATTTAATAATTTTTTTTTTATTATTAGACTCTCTCTTTGTAAAACAATATACGTCAAAAACAATTTTTCTCTTTTCTATATATAAAACCATTTCGTAATTAAAAACTTTTGTGTGCGCGATCCTATTTCGAACTGACGAACCAATAGCGCGCTGGCAAACATGCGGCGCGTGCCCCGCTTCTTACCACCAATTTGACCGATAAATCGCTTCTTCGCAGCTTGACAGCCAGCGTTCTTTTTAGATGACGCGAGTTATACTGATATTGACATACTTAGCGCCGCGGGTTTAGTTCTAGTTGGTCCGTCCGACCAAGCGTAGGTATTACGTGCCTAAGTTATAACAACTCTATTAATAAGTTAAAAACTCTGTGTTGGTAATTAAAAAAAATCCATTGTTTTCAAACGATTTAAATAATCAATTTGATTCGGTTTAAAAACAAACTCAACTGTCGCACTCTCGATGTCGTTACTCGTCGACGCAACATTGCCAGCTCGCCTACTCTACACACACATCACGATTCACGACGGCACGTACATAAAAATATAATATAAAAAATAAGTATAGGTAGGCATACCTACATACTTAAGTATTCATGTAATGTAGGTAGGTACTTTCTATTGATTTTCTATAAACTAATTAAAACGAAACATGACGTCGGGTGACCAAATATTGCCTACAATGAAGTGTTAACTGTAAAACTACTTCACCCTCCTTCCTCCAAACACAGTTCTTTTATTTTTGTAGACGAACTTTCAACCATTTAAATCGATTTATTTGGGGTTTAAAACGGCAACATTTTATTAAAAACGTTTTAAATCGGTTGTTTGCCATATATCATCCGACATAGCAAAGGTTAGGTTTTTAAAAAGGAATTATTAAGTGATCCGTACTTCATATTATATTCGATTCGTAAATAAGGAACTACCTTTATCTGTATATTAAATAACATGTGTTTATTTCGTAATCTGTGTAATGTGCTAATCTGTTCTATCAACTGTCAAGCGTACTCATAAGTCATAAGTTTGTCATCCATGCTCATAAGTCATAGGTAACTCATAGCATAGATTCATAGAATAAACAATTCAATTTCAAGTGAGAATTTAAATTTAAAATTTATTTTTATTATCAATAAACATATAATAGTACTCTATGATCAATAAATACCGTCTCAACTTGACGACATTTTCATTTTATTGTTATTTTAACCTAGGTGTTAAACTCTGGTCTGGATATAAAAAGAATATGGCATTTTCATTTGGATCTAACACAACTGCACAAAATCCTGCCTTCGGTGCCGCTTCTAAACGTTAGTTTAAAGTGTTTTTATAGATATTATGGCTTATTTAATATTGAAGATATAGAGCTTATGGACAAATTTGACTGACTTTCAGCTACATTTTCTTTTGGAAGTACAAACACCGCCACAACGAGTACAGCAGGTTTTGGAGGTTTCGGAACAACATCAACATCATCCGGTTTTGGTACATTTGGTGCACCTACGTCCAGTGCAGGTAAGAAAAAATAATTACTACACATTAAAGAAAACTAAATATGTAACAGAATTTTTATAAATAATACCATATGCTACCCCAAAGGAAATCTTAGTCTTTGCAAATATTGACCCTAAAATTGTGAAATGTACACCAATATAAATTATTGTAATCCATCAGTCTTCATATAGAAGCCATTCTCATGTTATTCACATTATTTGATTAGTTGGAACTCTTATTTTATATGTATTCAGCCCTTTTTAATATCCCACTGTTGGGCACGGGCCTCTCTTCAGTACAAGGTGAATCAGGCCATAGTCCACCACACTGTCCAAGTGTGGGTTGGCAGACTTCACATGTATTTTGAAAATTGCTAGATTCTCTCAAACATGCAGGTTTTCTTACAATGTTTTCCTTCACCATTAAGACAAGTGGTAATAATGTTTGAAATTATTCTCACTTGAAAATATCAGAGGTGACCCGGGATTTGAACCCACTTCACTTTTTTTGGTTTCCCAAGCGAGCATGTTACCACTGGGCTACCACTGCCTTATATGTTATAAGTTACTTATTATTTTATATAATAAATAACTTATCTGGATCAACTTGCATAATAATTAAATATTGCATAATGTTTACCAACTTGATACTTTACTACATAATAAACTTACCAACTTTATACCTTTGCAATATTAGTGTAGATCAACAAAGCAGATTAAACACATTTCACATTCATAATATGGCATAAAAATCACATAATAATATTATTATTATTTTAATTTTCTAGTTTTAGTCATGACAGCATAATTAAAATTGTAATATGGTTGAAAATGAAAACATTAAAAAAAAGGACTTTCACAATTGAGCTTTCTATCATTGCTGATTATGCATGTCTGAAATGATACTACATGTTATGTTTTAGATGATTTCAAAATTGCTTCTGTATTGTCATTTCTTAATGATTCTAATATTGCATTTAATCAGTATAGAATCTATAAGAATAATACAAATGTCTCATTTTGAGTATTTTGAGTAACTGGGCACTCGTTCAGTAGGTTATCATATATTCATGACAATGTAAGTACCACAAAAGTTACAAGATGGCACTATATGACATTGTCAGCATGAGAGCAGGTAGAAAAAGGCTCAATAATTAGTTATAAATGATGTTCTTTTTTGTGTAAAGTTGTGTTTTTTCAGAAAAGACACGTATAGATAACCTTTAAAATCACAACCTTACCTAAATAGAAAACTTGTTCCAAATTGTTACCGAGATACACAAAATAAATGTAATAATATAAATATATAAAGTAATAATAAGTAGTTATAAGATATATAATGAGTAATACTATGAGAAGAGAGAATAAAAATATTTTTGGGGTCTTTACCTGAACTGCCTCCTACTAAACTCCATTGTCCGTCCATCTGTCTGTTAGAATGCTGTATCTAATAAACCATAATAGATAGAGTTAAAATTTTCACAGAGTATGTATGTATCTATAACAACAAATAAAAAAAGAACTATAACAACAAATATAAAAATAAAAATAAATAAATAAATAAATATGTCAGGACATTAACACACAACACCATCTAGTTCCATGGTAAGCTAGGCTTGTGTTATGGATACCAGATAGTTGATACATTATACATATATAACTTTTAAATACATACATATTATAAATATAAACAGTAAACACCCATGACTGGAGTACAAACATTTGTGCTCAGCACACAAATGATTGCCCCCAGCGGGACTCGAACCCGCGACCGCTGGCGCAGCAAGTAGGGTCACTACAAACTGAGCCAAACGTGACGTCAATATGTGTCGTCAAAATAAAAGAAATATTTTTTTAATGTTCATAATCATTTATCAAAGTTAATAATATACTACATACATCGAGTAAAAGTCATATTAATAATAATTACATGTACAGAACCCTTCGTGTGAGAATTCGAATCGCACTTGACTTGGTGATATTTTTTTATTAAATCTGATGAATAAAGTATGTAATATGTTAGTTACAATTACTTTAAATTATGTGGTTGTTATTTTTTTAGCACCATTCGGCAGTCTCGGGACTGCTACTACAACAGCACCTTCTCTTTTTGGAGGAACAGGATTCGGAGCCACTGCTGCAAAACCTGCAGGTGAAACAAAATGAATTATTTTTTACAAGAAATAGTAGTGACATAAATTTCATAGTAGGCATCCACTTTAAACTTGCATTTGGAAAAAGTTTCTCATTTAATGTTTATCTTAATTTATTTAACTTAGCATAAATATAAACTATTTAATTTTAGTAAGACCACTGAAGAGAGCAGGTACTTTTGGCGTCACCAAGTCTAGCTCTTAGAGATAGTTGAATCCTGTAGATGGTGTTCTTTTTGAAATCCAGTTTTTTTTTAATGATAACAAGTCAAATTGTTTTAACAGGACTATTTCTCTAATATTAAAAAAGGTGATCTCATTTTACCTACTAGTAATGTATATTATTTTTGCTTTAGATTTAAAATGGAACTTTTTCTCTTAAAGTTACATATAAAATCAAATTCACACAAGGATTTTTCAAATTAGGTTTTGGTACTAGTGCCTTTGGATCAAATACTTTTGGAGGTGGAACAGCTTTTGGAGCTGGTACTTCTATGTTTGGGAATGCGGCACCAACATTCGGTACAAATACTCTCGGTGGTAGTACATTTGGAACTGGAACCACATTTGGTTCCACATTTGGAGCTAAGACTACTACTACAGGCTTTGGTGGTTTTGGCACAGGATTAGGAACAACATCTGCCTTTGGTCAACAGCAACAGCAGGTAATTTATTAATTTAAGAGCCTCTTATTATAATATATATTTTATATTGAATATTTAATGTAATATATATATATCTTTTATTAAATATTAGCAACTCGCCCTTAGCTTTGCTTCGGGTTCGTCCCTAGACAAAAACAAATCTATCCCACAGGAGCAGGACATTTTTCCGAGATGATGTATAGCCTATAATAGCCTTCCTCAATAAACCAATTTTCAAATCGGATTAATAGTTCCTGAGATTAACGTGCATTCAACCAAACAAACCCTGCCTCTTTATAATATTAGTATAGATAATATATTTTTTATTGTGATCGTCCAGCAACAACAGTTACAACAGCAGCAGCAGCAGCAGGGCCCGAGCAACGCCCACGAGGCATTGGTGGCGGCGGTGTTCAACTGCTCCGTCTTCGGTGACGAGAGGGACCAAGTACTGGCCAAGTGGAACCTGTTGCAAGCTCAGTGGGGGACTGGTAAATTATTTTATTTAGTCAATAATTCTGTAAGAATAACTCTTTCGGTGAATTGGTGGTTTGGATAAATAAGCAGGGAGACGATGAGGTATAGAGACGCGCTACACTATAGTATCTCCTGCGCAGCTAGCTAATGTTAGGAAGATTATTATTCTCCTGACCGATTTTGGACCTGTAGCCATTAATAGAATACTAGAACATAGTAAGAAATTGGATGGAATTAAAGCTGTTCTTTGAGCTATTTATGCATTTAAACTTTATACAATATAAATAAATTAAATTATTTTATTAATTTAATTTTTAATGTATTTAAATAATGTTTTAATTTTCACAGGACAAGCATATTACAGTCGGAATGCCCCACCATTAGAACTCAATGAACAAAATCCACTGTGTCGCTTTAAGGCAGTCGGTTATTCAAGATTGGGCGGAAAAGAAGATAAAGATGGACATGTCGCCCTGGTGTTTAACAAAATAGAACAAGATATAAAGTATGTTTAATTTCTTTGGAATAATTAATCCATTGTTTTATCACAGCAGTTGTTTTTTTTTTCAATTTATGTCATTAATAGAGAAATGTAAATAATGATATATATTACAATAATATATTTAGAATATTTAACATGCTTAGAATACATGGCTTTTGTACATATATTTTATATTTGAAGAATATCAGCCATGCACAACATATTCTTCTGGTTAGAGGACTTTTTCTAATTACTTTTCATCCATAATAAATTAAATAATAAAGGATAAATAGTCAAATGTAATTAATTATAGTATTATCGATTATACTCAAAATAAATATTTTGTTTTGTAATAAATTTTTTGTTAAAGAAATTATATATTTTTTCAGGAATAATCAGCAAGCATTATGCACTTCACTTTCTGGTCTTCTCGGCAATAAACCAAATTTGACAGTCAACATTGAATCTATTAAAGCTGTGTCAGAAAGTAAAAGTCAGGTAATATATTCAATCATCATAAATATTTTCTTTGCACGAAATATGAACCACAAACACAAAAGTGGCCTATGTAAGAGCGTGTTTAAATTATCTTATTGTTCAGTTCAACTTACAATACGTTTTAAAATCAGGATAAACCATTTTGCTATTTTTTCCTGCATACATCGCCATCTGTCGACATATAATTCAACACATATTTGTTTGTCACTGATGAGACCCCAAGGTGTGTCCTCACATGAAAAAGTTTTTAGGAGAGACTATTAAAGAAGTAAATGGTAGTTGCTCTTGCTTTATACTTACGAGTTCACGTACAGTATACCCATTGACAAAACCTGTATTTTTCGGGTCGAGATGTAGACGGTTTTCAGCTGAGCGCGGCACGCTCAAAAGAAAATGCACACATTGCACTTTCTATAGTATCGTTGCACGTTACTACGGATCTTTGTTTGTGCAGGTATATTTACTGGTAGGTGTTATTATTGAACTAGAGATGAAACGGGTAGTTGTTTAGTCGGATATCGAGTACCAGATATCCGAATATAAAAAATTAAATGTATGTGAAATTATAGCAAAATACATTTTAAGGTAAGACGTCTTGTATGGACCGTTCGGAACTGATGTGTACACAATGTACCCGCAGGTGATAATATACGTGGTGGACAAGAACAACAACGGCGCGCACGTGAGCGCGTCGGAGCTGGCGGCGTACCTGGGCGCGGGCGCGGCGCGCGCGGCGCTGGCGGGCGCGGGCGCGGCCGCCGTGTGCGCCGCCACGCGCCCGCCGCGCGCTCTGCTCGACCAGTACCTGCAGGCGCCGCCGCCCGGTATCTGACAATCTGTCCATACACTCGTTTATATATTATGAAATATTTTAACCTTTAGTATAGATTTCACAGAGATGAGTAATGAAAACTAATATGGGATTATGGTAAATAAGTTAAAATAGACAAAAGTATAAATAAAAAGACCGTGCGTGAAAACGATGACAGCTGTAGTGATTTATTCTTTATAAACAAAATAGTATGTATATATACAAGGATATTAGCCTATATAAAATACATCAATCCATATAAAAGACTGCGTTAATGTTTCAAAAAGTGTTCTATTTGTTGACCCAGATAACCAGCTATCATCATACCAAATTTCATCAAAATCTGTCCACTTGTTTTCTCTTGTCACAACAGACAGACAAAAATTCTAAAAACTATAGAATCGCCCTCTGTATTGATAATAATGATTATTACAATAAGATTTCCAAAGAATATTTCATTTACAGATGCAACTCAGAATTTTATTATGTATATATATATATATATATATATATATATATATATATATATATATATATATATATATATAAACACACACATAATAAATATGTATATTCCTCGGGGGAGCCTGTAACCCCTATAGGACGCGTCCCCGGGTGGCGGATAGGGGAAAGCTCGTCGGCGCTTTAGTAGAAGTGTCGGAGGGCAAGAGGGAAATAAAATACCTCTCGCGGACCAACAGGCACCCCCTCCGTCGAGCCGCTCGGACGTATTCTGACACCGGGTCGATGGAGGGCAGCGGCGTCAGGCAGGACGTCGTGTAGAGGATGGCGGCGGAAGAGCAAAAGCCAACGGTGGCATCCTAAGCCCCAGTGAGCAAGAGGGGTTACTGTCTTGGCGTCAGGTGGCAACCGGCCGTAAAACCACAAGCCAATCTACAATCTCCTAATCATGAATTACAACAATAATAAGAAACGGTCTAATGCTAGGGCGTCCCCCGGAAGCGACGCACACGGCGAGATACGAGAAAATGCGATTAATACTAGGGCGTGCCCCCAAAGCGACGAGAAGAACCATGCAGCCCACATGCCAAAAGTCCGCATAGCCAGTTGGAATGTGGGCTCCATGACAGGACGCAGCTTAGAACTAAGCGAAGTGCTGCTCAGAAGACGCATCAGCATCTGCTGTATACAGGAGACGAAATGGAAGGGGTCTAAAGCGCGCAATATTGGTAACGACTACAAGTTCATTTACAACGGCACGAAGACAAATCAGAACGGCGTCGGCATAGTAGTAGACAAAACTTTCCAGAACCGTATAGTAGACGTGAATAGAGTCAGTGATCGAATTATAGCAATTAAGTTCGCACTTGATAACCAACCATGCATGAATGTTATATCAGCGTATGCTCCACAAACAGGGTTGCCACAACCAGAAAAACAAGCTTTCTGGGACGATCTTCACGACCTGACTCAATCCATACCAAAAACGGAGTCAAAATACATCGGAGCAGATTTTAATGGGCACGTGGGACAAATCACGAACGACTCCTTTAGGGAAATTCACGGTAACCAGGGTTATGGGAATAAAAACTCCCAGGGTGATGATATTTTAAATTTCGCGTACACATTTAATATGGCAATTGTCAACACCTTCTTCACCAAAACAAACGAACACTTGATAACATATAAGAGTGGAGACAAATGCACACAGGTGGATTACATCCTAGCGGACAGGAAACTGCTAAAGTCCTTTAAAAACTGTAAGGTAATACCTGGTGAACCACTAACATCTCAACATCGACTCCTAGTTGCGGATTTTATAGCACAAAGACCAATTAGAGTCAAAACAGCTAGAGTTCCTAAAGTACGCTGGTATAAACTAGATCAAGAAGAGGGTGAAAAACTATGTTCAGACCTGAAAGAGTACATTTACGAGATCCAACCAGGCAACGACGCAAACACAATGTGGAATGAGTTTCACGAGCGCAGCATCCAGAAAGCCACAAGCTACCTAGGCATCTCAAATGGACTTTCAAGGGAGAACAAAGACCCAATACTATGGGACCCGGAGGTCCAAGAAAAGATCAGATCCAAGAAAACCCTCTTCAGGATCTGGCAAAGTACAAAGAGCGATGACGACCGGACAACATACCGAGACGCAAAGAGGGAAACCAAACGCGCGGTGGCGCAGATCAGAGCTAGAAGCAGGGAAGGTTTTTATGCTAAGCTAGAAAATGCTAACAATGATAAACAGCTGTTTAAAATTGCCAAACAAAGACATCGAGATACACAAGATACTCGGGCAGTTAAGTACATCAAAGACCTGCAAGGAAACCTCTTAACATCAGACTCGGATATAAATGATAGATGGAGGGAATACTACGCTAAATTGTTGAACGAGACACACCCCTGTGAACCAATAATGGAGCTTCCAACAGTGAAAGGTCCATGGCCTGTCATTACGCCGGAAGAAGTCAAATTAGCGTTAAGCCAAATGGCTAATAATAAGGCAACTGGTCCTGATGATCTGCCAGCGGAGCTGTGGAAGAAACTGGGAGACGATGGAGTGTACTTTTTAACCACGCTGTTCAACAAACTACCATCTGATGGCATCCCTCAGTCATGGAAAAAAAGCTTTCTGGTTCCATTCTATAAAAATAAAGGCGATATTCGACTCTGCGGGAACTATAGAGCCATAAAACTGCTGCCACATAGCCTCAAAATATGGGAACGAGTGATGAACCGGAGGCTACGCCAGATAACGAGCGTCACAGAAAACCAGTGTGGGTTCGTCACAGGAAAGTCAACCACGGATGCGATCCACACTATTCGCATCCTAATGGAATCCCACAGGGACGATAAGAAAGACCTCCACATGGTTTTTATAGATCTAGAAAAAGCTTTTGATTGCATCCCAAGACCACTGATTTGGCAGGCATTACGAGCAAAGATGGTACCCGAATGTTATGTGCAAATGGTGGCTGACATGTATGACAGCGTCTCGGCAAAGGTACGGTGTCCAGCAGGAATCAGCAAGGAATTCGGTGTGGAGGTGGGCGTCCACCAGGGATCAGCTCTAAGCCCGCTATTGTTCAACCTTGTCATGGACTACCTTACATCTGAGATACAGCAACCCATACCATGGAGTATACTTTATGCGGACGATGTAGTCCTCATTGACAAAGACCCAATAGCCCTCCAGAAAACGCTGGAAAAATGGAGATCAACCTTAGAAAGAGCCGGGCTAAAGATCAGTAGAGAGAAGACCGAGTACATGCACTGTAAATTTTCAGATAGCAACACCAAACATATCATGTACCTGCAGAATACGGCGCTCAAAACTGTAGAGAGCTTTAAGTACCTAGGCAGTGTGTTGACAAACGACGGCAGTATCGACGCAGACGTCGCGCACCGTAGAAACGCTGGGTGGCTTAAGTGGAGAGAGCTAACAGGAGTGCTTTGTGATCCAAGAATGCCAATACGCGTCAAAGGCAAAGTATACAAAACCGCAATAAGACCCGCAATGACATACGGAGCGGAATGCTGGCCGCTCAAGAAACAACAAGCCGACAAACTACACGTCGCCGAAATGAGAATGCTCAGGTGGTCGGCCGGAGTCACTCTTTTGGACAAAGTGTCAAACCTTTACATCAGAGGAACTTTGAAGGTTCGACCGATACAGGATAAGTTAGCAGAAGCAAGACTACGATGGTACGGCCATGTCATGAGAAGGCCGGTAGATCACATGACCAGAAAAGTGCTCGATCACAAGTCAGGACCCAAACAGCGCGGAAGACCCCGACTTACGTGGATGTCTGTAGTTAGGAAAGACATGGAAAACAACAATGTTGACCCAAGGACGACCCAGGAAAGACATGTCTGGAGAAGAATGATTAGGAGAGCCGACCCCAAATAAAGATGGGAAAAGGCCGGAAGAAGAAGATAATAAATATGTATATTATGTATATATTACTAGTGAACTATCCTCGCATCGCTCGGCTTCATCAAGTGAAAAACAACAATAAATCTATACCACGGTAACCATACATTTTTCCGGAATAAAGAGTAACGTATGTGCTATTCCAGACTATAATCTATCTTTGTGACAAAATTTCATCCAGATCCGTTCAGAAGTTCTGGCGTGATTGAGTAACAAACATCGATCCGTATAAAATTTCGCATTTACAATATTAATGGGATAATGGGATTAACAATAATAATAAAAACCAAAACTAAAAAGAAATGAATTAAAAACAAAAACAATCTTCATTTTCTTAACAATTATGTTTTTTTTAAATAATGATTAAATATCAGCAGACAGGTAAAGTCGGAACAGGTTGCTAGTATCATAATATATTTACTAAACTTATAACCACCGATACAATAGTCTGGTAATTATAATATTTATTAATTTGACAATCATAAAATATACTGCTCATGTATCTCATCCGTCTTAATTACTATAATTTATTATCTGCATTATAAATGATTATTCTATATTAATTATAAGGTAAATGACCGTCAGGTAATTATGACCTCTATTCCGTATTGCCCTTGAGGCAGCTCCTACGGGAAAATAGTGCCTTTTTTTAATTTCGTTTCGATTATGTCAAATGAAAATGGCTGGAATAGGGCAATGAAGCTTATTAAAATATTTTTTAGAAATTATTGTGATGAGGATGGTTAAATTGCAAAAATTCAAAAAAACCGGTGCTATGATTTCGACTATATACTAGGAAAAGCAAATTAGTTGCCAACACCAAAAATATTCTTTTATTTTTTAATTTGTTACTGAATGGGTGACTTTGTACATACTAAATTTTGCTTCTTAAGTTATGTCGACAATACATAAGATCAGGAACTTAATATGCTTTAAGCAATAACAGTATAATACTTTCTTAGATTTACTTATTTTTTTTTTATTTAGGATTTACAATAACAGTATTTTATTCTATATTTAGGTATGGACATGCGTCTGTGGAAACAGGCGCAGGCGGACAACCCGGACCCTGAAAATTATATACCAGTACCAATCATTGGGTTTTCTGAAGTGAGTATTTAAATTATAATGATTATCTTTATAATTGTTTATTCAGAATACTTTTTTGGTTTTGTTCGTATTAATTGTTATTAAGTTAATTGGAATAATAAATTATAAGGGTTCCGATTTGTATTTTTGCTACAGAATCCAATAAGCTTTAACTTATATCTTTTTCTGACGCGATATGAAAGACAAAATAGGCCCATTCGTAAAGACAGTATATACCGCTCAATAAGTCGAGTAAAATAAGTAGAGTCGTCGTAGTGGTCAAAAGGTCGTAACATATTAGTGATGCAGTCACGGCTCACATAGTATATTTTAGCTACTTCAATACAGTCGATATTAATGCGACTTTAGTTCTGCAGAAAAGAGCTTTTGTTCATTTGTGTATAAGGGTTCATAAAGCACTTATAAAACTTGCCACTAATTTTATCTTACCCCACAGAAAATTTAAGTTAGTAAAAGTATTAACACAACACCTTCTTAATTAATACCTATATAAAAATATTAGGAATTTTCCTAAAAAAATAATATTATGATTTTCCTTATATTTTATGAGATAAAAAAATATAAAAATTATAAAGAGGAAAATTCTGTATAATTAGTAATTGAAGTTAAAAAAATTCTTCTATCCGTTTTTGGAAACTATGCTCTCCGAAAACGGGTAAAAACTAAAAACTAACCGGCTCATGTTAGTAGTATGTTAGTAGTAGTAACTATAGAAACTAGTTAGAAGACAACGCACAGTGAACGCGCTGTCGAGGCGCGCTTGACGCAAGTTTGTATTGGTACGAACGCAAGAAATTACATTTTTTTTATTTATCAACGTAGGATTTACGGAGACGTTTACGAAACGCGTGTCGTCGGCTTTACGAGCTTATGAAACTTGGTGTGCATTAGTTTATCTGCGTAGAATACGTGCAAGCGAGGCGCGTTCGTAAAGTGCGTGTCGACAGCTCGTCGTTCTGTGTTTCGCAGGCCATAGGATAAATTGAAAGATTTTCGAAGTTATATTTTTTTCGCACGTTTGGAAAAACTTATGAGTGAAGTTTTTACGATATGCGCACACACCGACAGCCAAAAGGCAACATGAGGAAGTTAGTTGCATTCCTTTTACAAACAGAGAGTTGTTTGCCAAACAAGTATAACTTATTACGTGCGTACATAAGTACACACTACACACACACACGTATTTTTTAAATTATTGTGTATATAAGTATGTATATGTGGTGTAGATAAAGTTCCGCGCGCGGTGCCAGAGTGAGGAGGCGGCGCTGCAGGCGAGCTGGCTGAAGCGCGCGGCCGACACGCTGGCCGAGCTGCGCACGCGCCGCGCCGCCGCGCACGCCGCGCTCGAGCGCCGCGCCGCCGCGCTGCACGCGCTGCGCCACCGCCTGCTGCAGGTCACCCCCCTCCCCCCACACGCTACTGACTCTACACTTCGTAACTTTGTCACTTATTCAACACTGGCTATGGCTAACGGCTAATGGCTTGGTTTGTGCGCAATGAATCGGCATTACCGTCCATTTGTGGTGAATGCTGCTACATTTTTGCGGACATGAATTATATAGCAATTATTAAGTGTACATTGTTTTGTAAATTGCGACTACTATTATAAATATATGTGTATATATGTATGTCAATCAGGAAGGAAAGGTTAAAAAAATTGCTGGAAAAACAGTTGGACGGATTTAGATATTTTTAGTACTAGCGACTCACCCTCCCCTCGTCGGGTTCGTCCATAGGTTGCTTCCCCATACAAACTTTCATTTCCATTTTCACCCCCTTAAGAGGTAATTTTAAGGATAAAAACTATCCTATATCCTTCCCAGGGCCTCTAACTATCTCCTTACCAAATTTCGTCTGAATCGGTTCAGTAGTTTCGGAGCCTATTCGATACAAACAAATAAATCTTTCCTTAGTATAGATATGGGAAGACTGTGATTATTTTAAATTGTCAATGAAAGAATAAAGTAAGAATATTTCTATTGGTCTGTCTGCACCAGGTGATAGCGCGGCAGGAGGTGGTGGGGCGCGTGGGCGCGGCGCTCAGCGCGGACGAGGAGGCGGCGCGCGCGCGCCTGCAGGAGCTCGCGTCGCAGCTCGCCGCGCCTCCCCTCTACAACGTGAGTACTGAGTCACTACCGTAAGGTAAGCCGATAGCAATGGGATTATACAATCCCGTCAGGCTTACCTTGCTAAATAGTTGAAAATAAACCACATTCCCATTGGGTTATCTTTTAAAATATGTTTGTATGTATGTATGTGTGTATAAATATATATATATTTTGTATAATTATAATATTTACTTGATATATTTTAATATTAAGTTAATACCATTTAATGCTGTACTGTACCTACACCGCACTAAATTAACTTATTTTCTCACTTCTGAAAGGTTTCTGGAAGAAATCTTTTAAAGAGATAAGTTACCCTTTGTCGACATTCTGTTACTTTATTTTGTATAACATATATTTTATGGTACATAAATAAATAAATAAAAAAATAGTTGAAAAGAAAACACGTTCCCGCCAGCGCTTACCTTTTAAAAATTGTTGAAAAGGAACCACATTCCCATAGGGTTACCTTATAAAATATAGTCAAAAAAATATAATTTAAGGAATTGAATTAAAAGGGATATTCAGACCGACTGGACCGACCAGCAATATATACGGTAAAATTTCACTCTTAGCTAAAGGTGATTACTATTTATTATTTTACCGACTTAATAAAAGAAAATGAACACTTAATTTAATGTTACATGTATACTTGTTTTTTTGTGTGTGTCACACGATATCTTCGCTTTAATAACTAAGTGATTTCGAAATGGGTGTACTTTTGTAGTCAAATATAATGATTATATTTTTATTATTAAATATAGTAATTATATTTTCTGAAATAATTATATTTCAAAATATTGTCGTAGATGTAAAACGAAAAAAAAAATTTAAAGTGAAAAAGCATCTTGGTATTTAAGCAAGCATAAAGCATTTTCATATGATTATGTAGGCATTTATTTATATAGTTTTTGTTAGCATTTATATGAATGCCAGGCTTCTGTCGAATCTTATTACTTTAAACAATTTAAGGTAACTATTGCGTAAATGGATTCATTGAAAAAAAGACAAAATAAAAACTTGTATATAGGTTAGATTAGATTACACAGAACATAGTTTAGTTTAATTTATTATATTTTCCTTTCGAAACGTAGGCAACCACCTGCAAACATTTCTTGCAAAACAATATCCTTTTAGGAAAATCTAAAAAAATGAGAATGTTAATTTTTACACGTTTGTACAAAACAAAACCGCAAATCTCGAAAAGTTCTTTGTCGATTGTTTTGAAGTTTTTAATAAAATATTTTTAAAATTACTAAAACGTCATTAGATGGCGCCACAGTCGTATAGGTAATTCAATTTATATGAAAATTAATCCCGTCGTTTGAGTACAGAGAATATCAGGTTTTATTAATTCATGATACAGAAGTCGCGAGCGAAATATGAAGCACATTTTGTTATTATTATATCTAAATCTTAACACGTGACATTACGTCTATGTCTAGACCGAATTGTGAAGGTTATTTTGATAATTGAAATAAATATATCGTTTATCAATGACATCAACAAGAACATCAGAGAGTCCATCACTCTTCAGCCGCGTGCTTTTGCGATGCTATCAGCTCTTATCTCCAGACGCGTTTATAGACAAAGTATGCTGGGGATGTACGATAAGTGATAAGTGATAACGGATAACGTTTGCTGTTACATTTTATGTTCTATTTTTATATTTTTTAATTATGTTATTATTTATATTACTAGTTATTTCCTTAATTTTTGTAAGTTAACCTTGTCTGGGTATATTAAATATAAATTATCTAAATATTGATATGTATGAAATAATGTTATTTTAGTATTTCCTAGGTATATTGTTATGTTGTTTTTATTTTTTAAGTCTAATGGCAATTGTAAGGTTCCATTCTATTTTTATCATTAAGTATGATTTTTAATAGATTTAAATTGAAAACATAGCAACTAGCTACTTTTTTATTAATGTTACTACAGTACTAACGTTAAAGTACTACCCACTAAAAGCTTCCCCCGTCTTAATGGGGCGTCGCAGGATCGCTTGCGCATTCAACTTCTCAACGACACCCTGACGGCAGGTCTGCCGAAGCAGACCACTACAGCCATGGGGCTGCTCCACAGTCCACTCTAATCATATCAGAAAAGTACCAACAAAACCTTCCCCCGTCTTATATCAGAGAAGTACCAGGAGCAACCCGCATGCAACACCGCCCACCGAAGTGGGCCACCTCCCTGTGCGTGTCTTGGCTTCGCGACCGGCTGGACTGCCGGGCGCGAACGTACCTAACACTACCCTAAATACTATCAAGTGCATGCATTGAACAGATATGATGATTGTACTTGAGAATCCATTATTATTTTTAGTTCTGTAAAGGGGCACTTGTAATGCTACAGTTAGACAAAGGAATAATGTACTAGGTACCTACGTTATACTCATTAATGTTTTTTAGTGTAATGGCTTTTTCGTCTGATAAATCTGGTTGTAGGTGGGATGATTAGTTTGTTTTTAATATAGCATCTAGGTGACAAGAATCCTCGAGCAGTGCATTAAAAGATCATTAAGCGGTTATGTAACGCGTACCTGTTGTGTATAAATAATCAGCAATTAGAGTGTTTGAACTCGTGTAGCAATCTTGAGCCTCTTTATCTATATATCCAGTTGAAACCGGTGCGCTACGTGAGTGTCATGACAAGTGAATTCTTATATCGATACACAACTATTGTTGCGATAATCACGCAATAAATATATGAATTTTACACTAGCGGCCCGCCATGGCTTTGTTCACGTGTGAAGAGACACGCGTACATTCTAAACTACCAGAACTCGCGGCTACGCTCGCGCTAAAACTACAAAATAACTCTAAAAAGTGAGTTTCATAAAAACTTTCATCTTCAACATTCTCTTAGGGGTTGAATTTTAGAAAACGCTGAAATGCTAACCCATTATTTTTGCCGTACTCAATTCATACGAAATTTCATGCAAATATGTTCAAGGAATAAAAAGTTTCATACAAACTTTTATCCCCTATTTACCTCCTTGGGGGATGAATTTAAAAAAAAAACTTCCTTAGTGGATCCCTTCGTCATATGACGGATACGTGTGCAAAATTTTAATTTTCTAGCCTGTTTGGGTTTGGCCTGTGCGTTGATACATCAGTCAATAACTATTGTCTTTTATATTTAAAGATAAAACACTTAAATATTAGTGTAGTTATACCAACTTATACGAATCGCACCATCTTTTGGTCATTAATATAAGACGATCCTTCGCCTGATCGCACTGATCTTGTCTAATTGTCGTCCCACCGGAGTATGAGAGTGACAGGAATCGAGTATGTGTACTTGTGCATACTTTGCATCTAGCAGTTATTATAACCTTCCGGGCTTGCGCATGGCTCGCATTGTATACGATTGTATACAAACAGATGTACAAAATAAAAGACAAACCCTCATACGATTTATAAATTATATAGATTATATCTAAAATATTAAATTTGTTGTTCTTGTAGATTTTTCTTTAGAGTTTGTTATTTATCACATGTGTTACACTTAGGAACAAGGTAATAACATGTTTTTAAACTTTTTTTCAGGGGTCCGCCTAACTGAGGTTTATATTACATATTATGTTATTTAATAAACTGATTGTAGATTATTTCATTATTATATTCGTATCTTTTCTCTCATATGTTTTGTACAGTGATGAAAAATAAAAAAAAAATGTTTACAACTTTAATTAAACATAATTATCGCATTGACCTTATTTCTTTATATTAATTATAAAAATGACTACTACTACTATACTACTATTAAAATATTGGTGTGTGTTTATTTGTTATTTGTTTGTTCCGGTTTGGTAAGAGCAAAGTACAAGACATTAGACGGCACTCTCAAATGCCTCCGTACATAAATGAAACGTAGTGAGTGATATGATAAGGTGCTTTCTATACACACCAAATAAGTGTATAAAGAGATATTTGACGACACGTTTAGCTCAGTTTGTAGTGACTCTACTTCCTGTGCCAGTGTTCGTGGGTTCGAGTCCCACTGGGGGCATTCATTTGTGTGATGAGCGCGAATGTTTGTACTCCAGTCATGGATGGGTGTTTATATTTATAATATGTATGTATTTAAAGTTATAAATGTGTAGTGTATCAACTATCTGATATCCTTAACACAGGCCTCGTAGCTTACCATGGAACTAGATGGTGCTGTGTTAATGTCCCAACATGTTTATTTATTTATTTATTTATTATAGTATAAAAATATATTGCATCAATTATTATGACTACAGTGTTTATTTTAATTTTGTTCCTAGGGCCGTCTGAATGAATTGCTATGCGCTGTGCGCCTCCAGCGTAGCTCGAGCGCCGGCGCGCCCCACGAGCGGTACCACTTGGACCCCGGTGAGTGTACAAAAGCTTTGCTTTCTATATTGAGAAAAAGTTCGAATTAAATTAAGGTTATTAAAATTAAACCTGTTCTTTTGAATAGGTTTACCTTTTAAATAATAATAAAACTAATATGTTGGGACATTAACACTAAGGCTTGTGTTATGGATACCAGATACTTGGTACACTATACATATATAACTTTAAATACATACATATTAAAAATATAAATATTAAATAAAACTATCTTTTCGGATTATTTCGCGGATTTATTTTGATTTTTGGTTCCCGACGTTTCGAATGCTTTACAGCATCCATGGTCACGGGAGAGACTGAGGTGTTACATGTCTTAAGGATATAGTTGTTACAGACAGCCTACCCACAATTAACAAAATGAAAATTGCACCAATTACATTACAATATTTTTAACTTTAAACATTTTTTATAATTTTAATTATAATTGAATATGGAAAATTATTTATTTAATTTTTGCTATTATTTTTATAATTACTACAATTTTAAAAATATTAATTAGTAATCTATATTTAGTGTTGCCATTATTATATTTATAACCATAAATAAAAATATAAAAATATAGTATTAATTATTAAAGCCATATAATTGTTCTATGTGTAATTTAATATAAATATTCATGACTGGTGTACAAACATTCGTGCTCATTACACAAATGAATTTATTTAATAAGTTTCAAACTAACTCGCGGAAGGTGTTCAGATTTCCGCAGCATCTTTTTTTTGTGTATTGGATATAAGGTAATAGGATTTATACTAACTGTTGACTCACAGTAATAATACGATATTTTGTTAGTTAGTGTTTTTGTAACCTCTTTACGATTTAACGCGTGAATGGATTTGGATGAACTTTGAAATGGAGATAGCTTATATCTTGGATTGATTCTACTAAATTCTAGTTTACAATCAATGTATAGATCGTGCGGAGATTAACATCAAGATATGCGATACATATAATAATATTATAAATTTGAAAAGATAGTACGTTATTTAGTTTCAACGAGTTGTTCTGGATCTAATAGTCAAAATTTAAAGATTAGGGTGCAAAGTGAAATGCAAACGCAAGCTCCTAATATTCGTCTTCTCCAAACTTTTATCCCACAGTAACTTTTTATCTGTTTCGAGACTATATTATCTATCTAAACACTTAATTTCTGAGTCTTTAACTCCTCCAGGATAATTTCTAAGAAATTGCCTGCCTACATGCCTGCGATTCTCAACAGATTAACTTTTAAGATTACATATATTTTCTAAATAAAACTATCACTTTGAATTTTTTCGCTGATATATTTAGATTTTTGGTTCCCGACGCTTCGAATGCTTTACAGCAATCATGGTCACGGGAGACACCATGATTGATGTCAAAAATCAAAATAAATACGCAAAAAAATCCCAAAAGATGTTTTATTTAAAATGTCAAATATTCGCGTAAATCTAAGAAAGTATTATATTTTCTGTCGTATTGTAGGTGCACAAGAAGACGTGAAACAATTCCTATCGCTGCAACAGCGTGGAATGGCACATCTAATGGATACAGTGAAGAAGGACCTCGCAGCTCTGAATATTATCTCTGAAGGAATGTCCCAACTTGTTAGGACTTAGCAGAGCCGACTTGCCCTCGACTACTCTTCACACTTTGTCGAATGGTTTAGTGAATAAATCTAAAAAATTGACTAATGTGCTAAATAACAGTTTGTTTCAGTGTTACAAAACATCCAAATATAAAATAATATCAGTCGCTATGTATTTCAGATAATTTTGTTTCACTTTATATAGTAAATAAATTATACTTCTTATATATAGTATTCACTATATTGTATCGTAATGCCTAAGTGTTTTTTTTCTATGTTTAATATGGATTTTTTTATACTCTATATTTCATTGTGCATCTGTAAGGAATAAAATGAAAACTAAAATTAATAAATATCTTATTTTTAATTAACTCTTAGTACTTAAATCTAAAGGTAAATCTGTGTGTCTTACTAGATCTTCAATAGGATTGTTTTCCAAACGTTTTGTACAAATTAAATTCAACGGTACTTCCTCGTAGGTCTCAGGTATATCTTTCATCGAAATATCTTCGTATTGTGTCTGAGCTTCATATTTATATAATTTTTCACTTACTGTAGGCTCCAAAGGGGAATAATTAAGGCCACAAGAATAATAGTTTCTGTATGCATATTCATACATTTGAGTGTATTCCACATGAGACATTTCGTGTGAAGGCACTCTTAGAGGGTATATGTGTTCGACAGGCCTTACATAGCTGACGGACTCTACAATAGGGGCATAGCTTAAAGGTGTTCCCAAGGCATTAGAGAACGTGCGAGGACTGTATGGAAGGCTAGGAGTCATTAAAGGTGGACTATATGATGTGCATGTCTGTACATAGCTTTCTCTCCGAGGCGACAAACTGTCTGAACTTTGGTGCTCGTCTGAAGACTCTCGTCTCGGGTTATCTCTTTCATTTGTGAAGTGTCTGTACGTTTTGACATGCTTTCTAAGGCTGGATGGATCGGTGTATCTCTTGTTGCATCCTGGCACTTTGCAAAAGTATGGCTTGTCCACCGTATGTGTGCGCGTGTGTTTGAATCTGTCGCTTGAATTTGAATACGCTTTGCCGCAACCCTAAACAAAAAATATATATTATAATAGGTACTTATGACTTAAAGAAACAATTACGTAATAAGTATAAAGTATTTTTTATTATTTATTATACTGTATGTTTACCTCATAAGGACAGACGTAAGGTTTTTCCCCAGAATGAGATCTGAGATGAATTTTTAAATTCTCTGCTCTAGAGAAGCTCTTCTGACACTGGTTGCAAGTGTGTGGCCGCTCGTTAGTGTGCGTGCGGACGTGCACCAACATTTTGTATCTGTTATATAAAATAAAAAATAATGATTATAACAATTTTATATGTGATAACAAATTCGGATATATCAACTATAATTTGTCAAATAAAAAACAAATAAGCAATGAAAAATAGTAATTTTAATATACAAATATTTTGGATGAAATTAAAGCCAAATAAACAATTCAATAATAATGTAAGTTAAATATATTCTTACCTTGCATTAAATCCTCTTTGGGGTCTAGAGCAGTTCCTCCAGCAACAATAAAAGAGACCGTCTCGATGCGCGTGCGCGTGGACCCGCGCAATGTGCGCCGACAGTCGCGCCACACTCGGGAATCTCAATCCGCATCCTTTCCATCCACAAACACCTTCGCCGACATCACCAACACCGGTATCACTCACATGTTCCGGGGACGAACCACCGAAAGAATCGTCACTTTCCTCCTAAAATGCAAAAAATAATCTTTTTATTTACTTGTCAAAAACGAATATAAACAAAGTTTATGTTAAAATTAATTTATTGTCCAAAATAAGCACCTGAGGCGGAAGACGCGGTAAAACTGTAGCCCTCGCAAAGTAAGGAGTAAACCTCTCTGCAGGCATCCACCTGGCTATCCTACATCCTTCCTCACGCAACTCGGGTCGCATTGGCGGAAACACTAACATTGTAATAGATAATTTAGTAATAATAAAAAACTACTAGACACTGCGCGGTCTATTCGTGTAGTGATGGCTGGCACTCGCGTTGCGGACTTATAAAACGTCTCGGAATGACATCGCACTGATAAGCGACGACGATGAGTCCCCTGCGAACACGCTTTTAAAATAACACCTTTCCAGAAATAATGTTTACCTATCAGTTCATACTATTAATAATACAGAGGAACTATAAAGGGTAATTGCGTTTTTATGTGGGAAGGATTTTGGAAATTCATATAACAGGAGAACAACAACTTTGTCCGTGTAAGAGCCGAGTTACGCCATCCTACTAAGTAGCGTAGCAATCTAGCGTTATCAGAAGCCGCCTGCCGCGGCTGCAGTCCAGTTTTTACCAGTGTGATAGGCCTCAGTTCAATAGGTGACTGATATGACCGTGTTTATTTAAAGCGACCTCTCTTATATGTTTTGTTCGGTTTCTGATGATCGTAGAATATTAACATACATTATTACCTCAGTTTCATATAATATCTAAGGATTAGCTGTGCTAATTACATTTTTTAGAAGATATTAAATTTTAGGTGAAGTTAATAACTTTTGCGTAATATTTTAATAAAATATTGTTTTATTAAATTACACTAGCGGCTCACCCTCGCTTCGCTCGGGTTCACCTCTAGAAAAGCACAAACAGATCTATCCCACGGGAAACGTTCATTTTTACGGGATAAAAATAAGTAACCTGTTGTTTGACCTGCAATATAAGGTATCAGCATGCCAAATTTTATTAAATTAGGTGCATAAGTTGTTGTGTACTGAGCTGTATAAGTTACTATGATTTTTTAACTATCCCACGGGAACTCTTTAATTTTCCGAAATGAAAACAGACAAATAGACATACAGGCAAACAGACAAACATACATTTTTTTTAATAACTATTGTTTTGGGGTCTATGTTGTGTACATAATACGTTACAAATAAACAAAAACATCTATCCCACGGGAAAAGTACATTTTTCCGGGATAAAAAGTTACCTATTTGTTATTCTGATGAATGAACTATATTACTGTAAAGTTTTATCAAAATCCAATCAGTGGTTTTTGTGTACTAAGCTGTATAAGTTACTATAGTTTTTTGACTATCCCACGGAAACTCTTTAATTTTCCGGGATGAAAAGTAGCTGATTTATTTTTGTCATGTATGAACTATATTATTGTAAAGTTTCATTAAAATCCAATCAGTAGTTTTGTGTACTAAGATGTATAAGTTGTTATAGTTTTTTAACTATCCCACGGGAACCCTTTAATTTTCCAGAATGAAAAGTATCTAAGATGTTGCCAGGGAATATAAGGTACCACCATGCAAAATTTCATTTAAATAGGTCCAATAGATCCGGAGATTAGCCCGTACAAAGAGAAAAACAGATAAACAGCTCGCTCGGGTTCGTCCATACATACGAATAAGTTGTATTATCTCTTTAACCATTTGTCCAAATTATATGCAGTAAAAGGGAAAAGTATTTTATTTTAAACATTTTAGACGATAAATTTACTTATTTTGATAAGAATTCATAACTGTTGATAATATGACCAATAAACATGACCTACCGATTTAAATTATTTTTTTAATATAAAAAACTACTTTTTGTGACTTAAATATAAAAGTTAGACATATGCTGTCGCTGACTTTTTTGTAGGCATTATTAAGCTCTACAACTTTTCTCTAGAACATAATCATATATCTCTCATCGTTAAGGCAGCGTTCGTAAGAAACGTTTTCGTTCGACCGTTTTTTCTCCGACTTACTTTGCAAATCCGACTACCACAAAAAAGCCTTTCCATTTTTCGGGTTAATATATAGCCTATGACACTCAGAAAGAACGTGGCTTTCTATTGGTAAAAGAATTTTGAAAATCGGTTCAGTAGATCCAGAGATTACCCCCTACAACGTCACAAACTCACAAACTCACAAGATCACAAACTTTACCTCTTTATAATATTAGTATAGATAAGACCAAAAACTATGGTAAAGACCTATTTCCGAAAGTAAGTATTCACGCTTGCACGTTCTCATCTCTAGCCTCTAGTGGTCTGAAGACGATGGTTTTTGGCAATAAGATCGCCGTGGATACCTTTAGTAGGTATGCTTTTGGACAAAATCTATATTATAACTTGAATAATTTTATGCCAAACAAAGTTTTCTATACATATAATAAAAATGTAAGAATCTGTACATTAAATATTTTTTGGAAAATCTAATTGAAATAGATATTATTATCGATACAGAGGCCGAATCTATAGTTTTTAGAATTTTTGTCTGTCACTCTGTCTGTCTGTGACCGCATCATAGAAAAACCACTGGAGGGATTTTTTTGAAATATGGTATGATGATAGCTGGTTATCCGGGTCAACATATAGGATACTTTTTACTGCGAGAAAATATCTCATCTCTGAGAAATCTATACTAAATGTTAAAACGTAATCGCTAGTAAATCGCTAGTACCCATTTTTTTTTAACGCATTTACATGCAATTACGCACGGAATTACGCACGGAAATGCATTTACGCACGACGTGTGGGACTCACCGGCGTAATACAGCCAGTACTACCCACTAAAACCCAACAAAACCTTCCCCCGTCTTAATGGGGCGTCGCAGGATCGCTTGCGCATTCAACTACGACGCCCCGACGGCAGGTCTGCCGAAGCAGACCACCACAACCATGGGGTTGCTCCACAGTCCACTCTGCTATCAGAGAAGTACCAGGAGCAACCCGCATGATACACCGCCCCCCAAAGAGGGCCACCTCCCACCGCCCACCGAAGTGGGCAACCTCCCTGTGCGTTTCTTAGCTTCGCGCCCGGTTGGATTGCCGGGCACTACTGAGCCCCCCCACCACGACAAGGTGAACGCACGTTGGGGGGGGGGGGGGGGGGAAATCGCTAGTACCCATATATTATCTTAATTTAAGTAAAAATACCACTGCATGACCAGGCCAGTTCCACAAAATTAATCCGTTAAGAAGGATCTGAAAAATAAATTCACTCCTACACAGCGCAAATATCTGCATATTTCTAATGCATGTATATATATAGACCTATATTTATTTCTTATTTACTAATTTTTTTTTATTTTATTATAATAAAATCTTAAGTAGATATTTTCGGCGACAAAGTATTGACTTAATTTTCTTTTAATCTGTAGTTTGTTATATACCTACATATATACGTATATAATAATAACGTCTGATATTATTGTAAAATGAATAATGAATTTAATTTCCTTTAATAATTATATTATCTACTAGCGAGTAGCGACCTGCGACACGCCCTCGCTTCGCTTGGGTTCGTCCCTAGTACATTTCAATGGTTAGTATCTAATAGATAGACTATATATTAGTATATATATATATATATATATATATATATATATATATTTATATATATATATAAGACGGAGGAGGATTTAGTTACCTTTTTCTGTTATGAAACCTTATTATTGTTTAAAGTCACTATGTTCTTTAATTTACTTTTTATTACTTTTAAAGTTATTTTGAATTTAGAGCAGAGATTTCGTCTCGAGCGGGGTCGAGACGCCATCACGACATTCTTTGCAAATACGTGGTTTAGTAAAGACGGTTGATCATGGTGTAGCATATAGTTTTGCTTTGATATTGTAGTTGGAAGTCGATGATCGGTGACTGTGAACCCGCTAGCTCTAAATCATTAGAATTACCGTTTCAAGTTTATAACATTGTGACTTCCCTGATTAAATTGTGTATTGAGCACTGAATACTTTATTATTTGAACCCTGATAACGTCCACAAGATGAGAAACCACTAAAGATGATGTTCGTAGTATACGGATAACACGACATATATATATATATATATATATATATATATATATATATAGGTGCATAGGATTCATGAGTTTTATATTCCTTACTTGAGAAATGACTGATTCCCCATACAAACTTTCATCTCCCTTTTCACCCACTTAAGGAATAATGTCCTGGTTAAAAATAATTTCATCTAAATCCGTTCAGGAGATTTTTAGTTTATCCATTACAAACGAAAATACAATTTTCTTCTCTTTATAATGTTATAGTATACATAAAAATAGTTATTGCAAGAGACCTTGCGAGATAGACTTATTCTATTATGGACTTTTTGTAGGCCTTTATAAGACCTACAATTTTCTAGTTTTTTTTTATAAATTATCTTGATGTATCTCTTAAGGTTTATCCAGCGTTAGCCATAAAAATTTCTAAGGACGACTTGATAGAACCAGTTGTGTTTTCCCGTGGGAATGAAAGAGTTCTTGTAGTAAAAGGTAAGTATATCCTAAATGTTGACCCAAGTAATAAGTTATCACTACACAAAATTTAGTTAAAATCTGTTCAGTACTTGTTGAATCGCGAATACCCAACAGACATACAGACAAACGAATAAAATTTTTAATAACTATTGTTTTGGGATCTAAATATATTCTGACTCAAACCGTTATTGTTGCATTAGAGTTATTGTTTTTAAAAAATATTTCATGTACAGATTTTGCTCATTTACTGTTTTATAATATGTATGTATGTACCTATCTATAGATTAATATCAGTCACTTTAATTAGATATTTCGGTACACTTATCAAAAATGTCTTCCTGGGCGACAGGCAAATGAGTTTTTTCGAATGCCAATATCTATGACGTCAGTGTAAATTTTTTTCTTACTAAATGTTACTGGATATAAGTACATATTTTAGTTCGACCGGTCTTGATACTAATAGTTGGTGATTAACTCTGTGATTTCGAAAAGACGCGACAGATACAAGGGCCGGTGAAAATAACAATGGACTTCTTTATACCCGTTTATACCGCTCGTTAGTAGTACCACTTCTATTGTTTGTGGGACCAACGAAGTGTTTTCCTTAAAATTATCTATCAATTTTCGAAATAATTAAATATTACCTCGATTCTACGAGAATTTCCGGGCCCCTTTACTAGAGATGTACCGACTTG